ACAAACAAAAAACCTTAAAACAAATTAAAAAGAGGAAGAGCTCACTGTAGCCCCAGTTGGCCTGGAATGCAAGGCCACTCTCCCCCAAGTGTTGGGATCATAGGCATTAGCTACCACACCAGCCACCAACAATTTTAAGGATTTCAGGTTTTACCTATCCTGAACATGATTATCGTAGTCATCCCAGTAGCTATAAAGTGGGAACTCATTGTATTTTTTATTAGCATTTCCATATGACTAATGATATGAGCATGGTTTCACGTATCATTGGAGTAATTTGTGTATCTTCTTTGAGGAAATGTCTACTTAACTGTGACGGAGTAACATCAAGAGTCTAGATGGGTAACCAACAATCTAGAACATAGCTTTTGTTCCCTCCAGTATTTTCTGCAAAGTGTGTGTGTGTGTGTGTGTGTGTGTGTGTGTGTGTGTGTGTGTGTGTGGTGGCGGGGGTGTGGGGGGGCGGCTAGTCCATGTACAGACAATCCCAGTGAAACCAAGAGATACATATTTACAGAGGTGGATACTTAAATACATCAAAATCAAGGAGAATAAACAAGGCCTAAAATAACAACAACAAAAAAACAAAACAAAAAAACCCTCAAGGACCCATTAGATGATAATTAAGATACTGCCTTGCACATCAATAAATTCGATCCAATGAACACATTGAATGCTTACTACTATGCTAAATACTGGGGAAGAAGAAATAACTACTACCTCAAAAACCAAACATACCTATTTCCAATTCTTAAGATATACATAGGACCAAAATCACCATTATGATAACTGTGCTCAAAAACAAAAACTTGAATTGTAGTGTTTCATTAGTTTTAAGCCTTTTGACTCTAGTACAGCCATTCCTTAAGCATGTAACTAAACAAGTTTAGAAATGGATCCTCATGAGGGGGTGTCTTCACTGTTAAAAGCAGTAATTTTAGCCGGGCGGTGGTGGCGCACGCCTTTAATCCCAGCACTCAGGAGGCAGAGCCAGGCGGATCTCTGTGAGTTCGAGGCCAGCCTGGACTACCAAGTGAGTTCCAGGAAAGGCGCAAAGCTACACAGAGAAACCCTGTCTCGAAAAACCAAAAAAAAAAAAAAAAAAAAAAAGCAGTAATTTTAGCCGGGCGGTGGTGGCGCACGCCTTTAATCCCAGCACTCGGGAGGCAGAGCCAGGCGGATCTCTGTGAGTTCGAGGCCAGCCTGGGCTACCAAGTGAGTTCCAGGACAGGTGCAAAGCTACACAGAGAAACCCTGTCTCGAAAAACCAAAAAAAAAAAAAAAAAGCAGTAATTTTATGCCCAGAATAGGAAGTCTTTTGATGTGATATTAAAAACAAGCAAACAGTTCAACATACTTTAAGCACAGAATTTAATTAAAACCTATCATACTGTGGGCAAAATAACAGAACTTAAATTCTGCATTGTAAGGCAAGTTTCACAAAGCATTTGAGCTGGGTGTTGTGGCTTACACCTGTAATCCCTTTACTTGGGAGGCTATAAAACAAGATGATCAAACCACATTCAAAGTTAGTCTGGGATGCAGAATGAGACCCTGAATTCCCTTCTTCCCAAGGCAAACAATTTAAGGCCTACCAGTCAATGTTTTCACAAAACCAGACAGGTATATTGAAGTCATATTAAACCTGATTATTTTTATTTCCAAGGTTGGGCCTGCATTTCTAAATTTGGTTCTGTGTTACAACATGTTCTTGCACTAGGTTTGTGGCTACATTAATGTTATGTAGAAATATCCACTGAGATTAAAACCATCCATTTTGGAAGGATGCTCACAGGTTATCTATCGGAAGATGAAACAAAGTATTCCTTTTTTGTTTTTTGTTTGTTTGTTTTTCAAAGCAGTGTTTCTTTGTGAAACAGTCCTGGCTGTCCAGAACTTGCTGAAACAAGATATTCTAAGATGAGGTGAAACATCTCTTCTACAGGAAGCTTCAGAAGTAAACAACTCAAAAGCTTCAGGAAGTCCCTAAAACTGACCAGATTCACCAGTGCCTTCCATTCCCAAGCACAAGGGGTAAGGACTGCTGAGACGTGCTGGGCAAGCCTCTCAGATGCAGCCGAAATCGGCTGAGCTGAACTGTGCATGACACTTATCAGTCTGTTGAGCTTCCTGCAGGTTGTGCAGTGTGCTCCGTATTTCCAGCTTTCATGAACTGTCACTCATGCTGGGCGGGCTTCTGGTGATGGAGGCATCTTTGAGTAATTTCTGCTCCTGTAACCCCTCACTCATGTTCCTATAATGTCAGTAAAACTCAGTAGCTCACCATATTGGATACTGGTGGTAACTGCACCCTGTCATTGCTTCCTTATCTGGAGTGAGTAGATGTTTGCTCACATCTCCCCAGAAATGTCACACAACTAGAAAGCTGTGTCAGTTCCACTAACTACGTACTGTACTGATGCAGGCTTATCAGGTGTGCTTACTGCTCTTCCAGATGACGATCCCAGTTCATTCCCAGTACCCATACAGGCAGTTTACAAGCCCCAGGGAATCTGACACCCTCCTTTGTTCTTTGATGGCACTGCACATACATGGCACACACATACACACAAATAAGAAAATAAATCTAGCCAGGCAGTGGTGGTGCACGCCTTTAATCCCAGCACTCGGGAGGCAGAGCCAGGCGGATCTCTGCGAGTTCGAGGCCAGCCTGGTCTACAAAGCGAGTTCCAGGAAAGGCGCAAAGCCACACAGAGAAACCCTGTCTCGAAAAACCAAAAAATAAAATAAAATAAGGTGGAGGGCTGGAGGGATGGCTCAGAGGTTAAGAGCACTGGCTGCTCTTCCAGAGGTCCTGAGTTCAATTACCAGCAACCACGTGGTGGCTCACAAACCATCCATAATGAGATCTGGTGCCCTCTTCTGGCCTGCAGGGATACATGCAGACAGAACACTGTATACATAATAAATGAAATCTTTAAAAAAAAAGTGGAATGTAATCACCATACATTATGTGTGTGTGAAATTGAAGACAGCGATGTTCTAAAATAAAAAAACTGGCTGTGTGTTGAGGGGGGTTGTATCAAGGAATGTAGCTGGGGCATAAACTGCTTGCTAGAATGTGTGAAGCCCTAAGCTTAATTCCCAGCATCTTGGGGGAAAAACCCAAAAGATTTGGCTAGACAGACATACATGAAGAAGTCATGTATGTTAACTCAGGAAAATTAGTACATGTATTAAAAGTAAATTCCAGATTGACCTCATATTAAACATACTGGTATAAAATCGCAACATAAATTTTCTTTTGCATTAACAGTTATTGAGAACCAGAGCTAGAACTGGACAATATCTCTGTGTAGCGGGCAATAAAAAAGCTACCACAAAGACTTTGCTACAAGTCCTGAGCTCAATCTCCAGCACTACAAAACAAAAAAACTACAGTACTGTACAGTATCAATATGTAATTTAATACCTAACCAAGGAAAAGTAACAACAAAGCTCCCACCAAAATCAACAGTAATATTTCCTGTCTAGTTCACAATTCTTGTTACCTATTATGTTACAACCTTGGGGTAGTAACTGTACAGTCTCCCTCACTAGAGACAGCGTGGCAGGGCTGGGCACAGTGGTGCCCACCTACAGTCTCAGCTACTCAGAAGGCTTGAGGCAGAGCTAATGAGTTAGTGTCAAGACCGCCTGGAGAACCTAGAGCCTGTTTCTTGTAAGAAAAAGTGAGGCTGGTGGTATAGATATCTTAGTCACACAACACACATTTGGGCTGGAAAGACAGCTCAGTGATAAGGAGCATGGGATGATCTTGAAGAGGATCCCGCTTCCATGGCCAGCACCCACACTGTGGCTTCCAACCATCCATTAACTCTAGTTTCAGGGGCTCTGACATCCTCTTCAGAACTTGGGCGCCAGGCACACACATAGTGCACATATATACAAGCAAGCAAAACACTCATACACATAACATTATTATATTTTAAAAGGAACACACACTGGGCTGGAGAGATGGCTCAGAGGTTCCTCCCGAAGTCCTGAGTTCAATTACCAGCAACCACATGGTGACCCACAACCATCTAAAATTAGACCTTGTGCCTTCTTTTGGCATGCAGATGTACATGCAGGCAGAACTCTGTATACATAATTAAAAGACAAAAAAGCACACACACACATACTCAAGCCTGTGTTTGACATGCCTCTCCAGCCCCCCTCCCCCAAAGTTGTAAATATAATAGTGGAGAACCATGGATTTGTCCAAGGTTGCAGGTGCTACATCAAAATAGTTTTAAACTAATAGGAAGACACAATCTTAACACAAATATGATCAAATAAAACCAACAAGACAACTTAAATGTTTTTTTGTGTGCCTCCTTGTACCATGTGTGTGCAGGCGACACAGAGGAAAGCTGAGGATGTCAGAATCCTGATGCTGGAGGCAGTTATGACCTGCATGGTGTAGGTCCTCTACAAGAGCAAGTGCTCCTAACTGCTGAGCCCTCTCCAGCCCCATAACGTTCACGTTAGCACTGCTAAATGTGGATATATTCAAACCTTGTTCATTTATATTAAATTTCCTGTTTCAACAGGAATTACATCAAGTCTTTGATAGCAATTTAATCTCACTCAACATGTCCACTCATTTTAAGTAACTAACACTAATCCACACATGAGCTCTTCATGAAACTGAGTGAGCTGAATGCATATTAATTCCATATAATGTCAATAAGAACCTATAAAGGAAATTATTGATAACTACAAAGAAAATGGAACTTAAAAACTATAACCCAACTGATGCAAAAAAATTTTTTCAGTGCTGGGGATAAATTGAAGGGCCTTGAATGTCAGGCAAGTGTTGGCTCACTAACCTACACCTCCAAGCTCCAGGATAAATGTGTAAATCAAAATATAACTTTATAGTATTATTTTCTACACAGAAAAAATATGGGAAAGTTTACATCTTGATGCTATATAAAACTACCTTAAATTGAACCAAGCAATTCAATCACACAGCAGTAAACAAGTGTTCATCATACCTTTTCAGTCAACACAGCCTTTATTAACACAAAGTACCATTTGCTGCACCATATACAAATTGGCCTAGTGTGTTGCAATTCTGATGCCCTGAAGTTAAGGTTACTTCTGGACCTAACACACAGAGTAACCCACAAATACTGGCCCAGGCTAAATTGTATTTCTAGCTATTGCCCCCTGAAATCCATCTTTTGGCCTTTGATTGCACCTATTTGATACAAAGAGCAAATCCATGTTAGCTAGAGATTGATTGGAGAGCCTTGTCATGGTAGCACTACCACTGAGTTCTAAATACCCCCAGCCCAGAACACAACCCTGTGCTTTCCTTACATCTGTAACTATGTGCCAGTATGCCTTGAAACATTACTAAAAATAACCAATTTACATGTAACCTATTGTCAATATGCTAGACAGCACAATGTGCAGGTTTTTAAGAGCAAAGGTTGCTTTTATGATTTCCGAAGCTTCCAGGAAAACTGACCGGTAATAAAGCAGTCCTAGGAAGAAAGTGAAGGCTTGCAATGACAAACCTCAGTGACGGCTTGTCCATCACACTCACTTCAGTGACTCCTTGGCGTTTCCGGGTGTTTCGTCGGCTCAGAAAAAGGCTGAATGACTGCATCACGAGGTGACTTCAGAAGACCTACAGCTTTACTATAATCAATGGAACATACGCTAGTGGAGGGGGGCTAGCTAATGCACTACAGGGTTCCCACCACCTCCCTCATTTCTATTGTACAGCATTCCAATAATGCAGGAAGACTGGAAGAGCTCAGAATACCTAGATTCTAAGTTTAGATCAGTTCATGAAGTGTTGCAGGACACATTTCAACACATACAAGTGTAATCCCAAGAGACCACGAAGAATGAGAATGCAAGGGAGCCAGCGGAAATCATGCTTTAGACTGTTCAAAACGCACAATGCACAGGGACTCGTAAATTATCATTTACTTGACTAGATGGCTACAGTTCAAACAGTTTCTATTCCAAAAGTTGTACCTGATAATCTTCCAAAATTGCTTTTAAATAATGTTCTTAAATTGTAGCAATAAACAAAACACAAGATGCAATTAAACAATATTGCAGTTTATCAAAAAACACATAAGAAATTTCAACTCTTATTCTGAGTTACAAAAATCAAGGTTTGGCTAAGTTATAAACATGTTTTTTCATGTAATTATTTGCATAACTCTAGTAATGCTCAGTGGCTGTAAGATCAGAACTGGTTCTTAAAAAAACACTAAAAACATAAAAATACTTAGCCCCTGTATTTACCTGTAGAATATGCTCATTTATGCTTACATTCCAGGATAATTTGCTATATTACTTATAATTTTAAAGGTCACATCCAAAGGAGAAAGCAAACCACCTACAAACTGGCATTATTTGTTTATTTCTTGGTTTGTGAACGTCCTTAATTTGTTGATGTAGCAAACAAATTTCAACTCTGCTATGCAAATGACAGTAGGAATCTGCTCAGCAATTAACTTTAGAGTTCAATTTCATACAGGCAACATGCTATATGTGGAAAAATGACTAACTGAACTACAGGTATTAAATACTGAAAAAATGAACAGTTTATTATAATTTATTCTATTTAACAATCTAGGAAGTTTGCAGCCATCAGCAGCTCCAGTGCAATTTCAGGTGCAATCGGGAATTCAGGAATCTCGGTGGAGCTGTTAGTGTAGCGGACCTTGTAGGTAAAATACATGCATACTTTCGATAGCACGTGCGAAGGGATCTCTCTGAAATTGACCTCATTGGTTTCATTCTCAGCAAACTGCCCTGCAAAACAAAAAAGTTAAGTATGTTAGGGGCTGCACAGTGCCTCTTCTTGTTCTCAAGGGAATCTTAACTCCAACTACACCTCAGGATGTGACTGTACTTAAAGGTAGGGTCTTTCAGCTAAATTCTGTTAACAAGGTCTCTAGGACAGGAACACAGTGCCACTGGCGTTCTCATCAGAAGAGACTAGACACATACAGATAGAAAGAGACCTCTTAAGACAGAGAGAAGCAGACGTGGAGACAGAGCCCATTACTCAAAGGCAAGTACTCAACACTGTCAACTCTTTAAAGTTGAACACTTCAGAACCGTAGGAAAATAAAGTTCTGTACCTAAGCCACGTGGTATGCAGCACTTGGTTAGGCAGTAAATTAATAAATGTTTAAAGATCGACTGTGATTGGCACCAGATTATCTACCTGATTTCTCAGTAGATACAACACTTTAAAAATCTTTAACACGGCCGGGTGGTGGTGGCGCACGCCTTTAATCCCAGCACTCGGGAGGCAGAGCCAGGCGGATCTCTGTGAGTTCGAGGCCAGCCTGGACTACCAAGTGAGTTCCAGGAAAAGGTGCAAAGCTACACAGAGAAACCCTGTCTCGAAAAACCAAAAAAAAAAAAAAAAAAAAAAAATCTTTAACACAAGCCAGGTGGTGTTTAACCCCTGCCCTCGGGAGGGAGAGGCAGGTGGACTGAGTTCCAGCCTCTACAGAGTTCTAGGGACAGGTGCCAAAGCTACAGAGAAACCCTTTCTCTTTCTTTTTTTTTGAGAAACCCTTTCTCAAAAACAAAACAACAAAAATCATGAACACAGTAGCGTCTGAAGGCTTTATGTAATGGCACACGTGTACACCTTCAGCACTTAAGAGGCTTGAGGCAGGAGGGTTGAACTGAGGCTGGCTGTTTGAACTGGTGTTCAAAATCAGCAGTTGCTAAGTAAATACAAATAAAATCTATACTGAAGTATCACTTCGAAGTCAGACCAGCTAATAATGGGCCAGAGATGGCTCAGGAGTCACGAGCTCACTGCTCTTGCAGAAATCTGGGCTTGGTTCCCAGCACCTACTTGGCACAACCACCTGTGACTCTGGTTCTAAGGCATTCGATGCTCTCCTCTGGCTCCACGAGCTCATGCATGAGATGCACATAAACTCATACAGATACATACCCACATATATACATAGATACAGTAAGGAAAGAGATAAACCCAGTCAGGGTGTTTTATAAATTGGAAGACCAATGTGTTGTCAATAAAAATAAGTTTTTGTTTTTTTTTTTTGCCCGAGCTGGGTGGTGGTGGTGCATGTTTTTAATTCCAGGACACGGGAGGCAGAGGTGGATCTCTGTGAGTTCAAGGCCAGCCTGGTCTACAGAGTGAGTTCCAGGATAGGCTTCAAAGCTACAGAAAAACCCTGTCTCAAAGAACAAACAAACAAAAATACAAAACAAAAAAAATTTAAATGATCCTACCCCAACAAAGACACTTTGGTGGCTCCTCGAAAACATAACAATCATATGACCAAACAGTCCCACAAAGCAAAAGCTGGTGTTTTAAACAGACACTTATATATACTTGTATCTACAACAAGAGCACCGTTTATGGTAGCTAAAAGGTAGACACAAAATGTTGAAACCCAATCTAGCATATTCCTGACAGAATAGTACTTGATGGCTCCCCTACCATGGGATTGTACTTTGTTTGAATTATGCCATGTAGAAAGACACAGAAGGTCAAATACTGCATGGATTCCAGAATAGGGAGATCAGAAAGCAGACTGGGCACAGATAAAGCTCAAAGAGCATAGGGTTTCCTTTTGGGGAGATTTTCTGGAACTATATATTTGTGATGGTTGTTCATACTGTAGAAGTAATAATTGGGGCTGGAGAGATGGCTCAGGGGTTAAGAGCACTGGCTGCTCTTCGGAGTTCAATTCCCAGTAACCACACGATGTCTCACAACCATCTACAATGAGATCTAGTGCCCTCTTTGGTAGTGTGCACTTTCTGTAGTGTGCAGACGGACACTGTGTGTACATAATAAATAAATAAATCTTAAACAAAGAAGTAACAATTGTATTATTTGAACTTTTTGGAAGCTGGAAAATATTTACTCAAAGGACAAAGAATGCTAAAGGTCAGAGCCAGAGTGGTGGTCAGGTCTACAGTCCCAGCACATGGGAAGGTGAGGGAAGGGCAGCTGTTGAGTCTGAAGCCAGCTTGGCAGCATGGCTACAGAATTAAGATCTTGACTCCAAACAAAACTGGAATGCGAGAGGGAGGTGCATGGGGGGCGGGTAACTTCTAGGAATAAACTTTTTATTACAACAGTATATGACAACCACAAACTAACGTAGAAAAAATGCACAGGTTTCCTATTGCAAAAGAATAATTAGGATCTTACTCAAACTTGCACAGAAATAACTGAAAACTGATTTTTCTCAATATAATGTAATCATGCAATGGTGGGAGCTTCCTCCTTCTTCTCCCCCCACCCCTCCACCCGTGTGTGTGTGTGTGTGTGTGTGTGTGTGTGTGTGTGTGTGTGTGTGTGTGTGTGTGTGTGTACCTGGCTTTTTATGTGAATTACATGGAGATCCTAACTCACGTCTATATGCTTGCGGCTACTTTACATCCCCAGTCCTTCTTTGTTTGGTTTTAAGACAGTGTCTCAACTATGTTGCCCAGGCTGGCCTAAAACTCCTAGACTAGAAGCTATCCTCCCAAACCTCAACCTCTCAAGGAGCTGGGACTAGAGGCATCTACCACTGCAACTGCTTTCTCCTCCTTCAAATGCTGTGTGTATCTAACTGGAAAAACATTTATTAAACATTAAAAGGACATATGAAGGAAAAAACACTATTACCTACCTGGTCCACTCAACATGGCCTTTATTGTTCCTGATGTTAACGCATGTTCTCTTTTTACAATAAATTCATGCCCATCAGAAGATATTAATTTGACATACATGGCGTCAGGGCCTTCACAGCCACCATAGGATTTCTCCTCTCCATCTGAAATAAAGCAGCACAATAAATTTTAATTATATAATGCACTAAAAATAAATAGGTTGAGCTGGGCGGTGATGGCACATGCCTTTAATCGCAGCACTTGGGAGGCAGAGGCAGGGAGATCTCTGCGTGTTAGAGGCCAGCCTGGTCTACAGAGCAAGTTCCAGGACAGCCAGGGCACTACAGAGAAACCTGTTTCCAAAAACAAACAAAAACAACAAACAAATAAAACAAAACCCAGGTTGTCCGGGAACTAGGGACTATGCTTAGTAGTAGAGTACGTTCTTAGCATATGTGATGCCCTGGGTTTGACTACTAAGCGTGGAAAAAGGAAAAAATCAAATCAGAGGTGAGTGTGTACAGACACCACTGACTGTTGTCACTGTTGCCTTCACTAGTTTTCTGCTCAGGATAAAATAAACAAGTAACAATTAATAATAATTGGGACATACATACTTTTAAATACCAAGGTCTTTTCTCACATATCTTTTAATTACTTTTATTGTTACCAATATATGAAAGCATCTATGGTTTTAATAAAATGGCCCTCATAGGCCCACAGGAAGTGGTACTATTAGGAGGTGTGGCCTTGTTGGAGGAAGTGTGTCACTGGAGGGTGGGGAAGATAGCTTTGAAGTCTCAGAAGCTCAAGCCAGGCTTAGTGGCTCAGTCTCTTCCTGCTGCCTGCAGATCAGGATGTAGAACTCTCAACACCTTCTCCAGCACCATGTCTGCCTGCATGCTGCCATGCTTCCTGACATGATGACAATGGACTAAACCTCTGAATCCTAAGCCAGCCCCAATTAGATGCTTTCCTTTTTAAGAGTTGCCTCGGTCATTGTGTCTCTTCACAGCAACAGAACCCAAAAACAGCACCTTAAATCTTATTCTAAGAATTTAGGAAGCCCTATGGAGTAGAAGGATGAAGATGATTGTTCTGTTCAGCTACACACATCCAGTTAACTAAAAGAAATCCCTAAGCTGGGCAGTGGTGGCACACGCCTGTAATCCCAGCACTCAGGAGGCAGAGGCAGATGGATCTCTCTGAGTTCGAGGCCAGCCTAATCTACAGAGCTAGTCCAGGACAGGCTCCAAAGCTACAGAGAAACCCTGTCTCGAAAAACCAAAAAAAAAAAAAAAAAAAAAAGAAAGAAATCCCTAAAATGAAGATTAATATTAAAACCACCACTGCAGGGCTGCAAAGATGGCCCAGTGATTAAGAGCATTGGCTGCTCTTCCAGAGGACCTGGGTTCAATTCCCAGTACCCACATGGCAGCTCACAACTGCCTGATAACTCCATTTTCAATGGATCCAACACCCTCACACACACATGTAGGCAAAACATCAATGCTTGTAAAATAAAAATTAAAAAAAAAAAAAAACCACTGCTGTCAAAGATGTTTCATGTGAAACTAAACCCATAGAAACAATACAAATTTTAGTCTTTAAAACAAGTAGCTAGCTCTCAAAATAAGCATAATGAAAGAGTTTCTCTCCTGAAAAAATAGGTAACTATTAAAAGACACTAAAGACACAAGTTAATGTAATAAATGACATTTGCTTAAACTTGGATTAAAAAAAAAATAAATCTGCTCTGAAGAACAATATCAAAGTTTCTGGGAAATGTGAATAGAGTAAATAATCAGGGGATACAAGCTGTACCTACAATACTGTGAAGTCTATAAACACAGTAAAATGTTGACAATGGCCCACAAATGTAAAAACAATATGTGTATATTGTTTAAGTATATGGATATGCGCATGCCACAGGACATATGTGCAGGTCTGAGGACAACCTTAGCTGTTAGCCCTCGCCTTTCACTTTGAGACAGGGTATTTCTGTTGTTCATCACTGCATTCTTCATGGTAGCTGGTCTGCAAGCTTCCTGAGATTCTGTGTCTGCCTTCCTTCTTGCTGCAGGAGCACTGTGTGCCACTGTGTCTGGAATTCAAATTCAGGTCCTGATGCTGGCAAACCAAGCCCTTTACCCACTTATCTCCAGCCCCCGATGAAGCTATGACACTGTATAACTCTTGTAATTTTTTACAGTAACTCAAAGATGTAAGTTCAATTTCTAAACTAGACTATGAGGCCAGCCTGGTCTACAGAACTAGTTCCAGGACAGCCAGGGCTACACAGAGAAACTGTCTCAGGAAAAAGAAAAAACAAAAAAACCCTCAAAAGTTAGCATTATTTCAAACTGAAGCTAGGCAGGATGGCTCATGCTTCCAATCCAAACACTCAAAAGACAGCGGCTCAGGCTAGAAAGACACTCAGTAGTTAAGAGCACCAGCCGCTCTTGCAGGAGACTTGGATTTGATTCCCAGCACCCACAATGGTAACTCCTGTTCCAGGGAATTCCAGATTAAAAAACAAAGCTGACACAGGACTGATGAGGACTTTGAGGCTAGCCTGGGCTACCCAGTGAACACACTAAGAAGTTCATTTACATTTCTAATATTTGCACGCTGTGATGCCTGATTCTGATCATCAACTTGACTGGACCGAGTATTGCGTACCTGGTAAGACCTCCCTTTTAGTGTCTGCAGAGTCCTAACCTGGCTGGCTCCAAGGGGCTCTGCTCTAAGGAAGAGCTTAACCACTGAACCCAGTGGACTACTGGAGGTGCAGTACTGTGGAAGGCAGGCTCTAACAGGAGAAGGCACTTGGGAGCTCCACTCTGTCCTTCCACTTCCTGTGGACCAGCTGAGCACCTCTGCTCTATCACACACTCCTTGTTAGGAATCCAACACCGGAAATGGAAAATGGGAGCAATACCACCTTTCTCTCCCAAGTTTTTTACAGGTATTATCTGGTCACAGGGTCAGGATAAACACACAACTTAACATTCTGCATATCTGTTGTTAAAAGTCTCATTTTTTTCCCCCTTTTTTCTAGACACTTCTCTTTGTAGCCCTGGCTGTCTCAGAATTCACTCTGTAGACCAGGCTGGGCTGGAACTTGGAGATCTGCCTGCCTCTGCCTCCCAGGAGTGCTGGGATTAAAGGCGTGTGCCATCACTGCCCAGTGTAAAAGTCTTATTATTAAGTACTTACAAAATACTACAAATTTTAGTTGACACAGTATTGTTTCTGTGTATTGTTACCTTTCAGACATACAGAGTAACAAACTGTTCATGTAAACATTAATTTCACTTTAGCCATTTTCTTATTTTCATTCAATGACTTTAAAGGCCACCCCGCTTGGTGTATATAGTGTATGGGTACATAAAAGTGTGCTCATCTGTGCAACAGGCCACGTGTAGGACCGGTGCCTTTAGTTGAGAGGAAAAATCAGCTCCCACTAATGGATACACAAAATTACCTCTGTTAACTTACCCATTATGTTCTTATAAAATTCTACTTGATCCCACAGGAACTTTAGTAGTTTCCTGAAAGTGTAACAAAAACACAAAGATTAATGTTGCATATGTATTTTCCACACATTACTATTTACTGTGTTCTTGGTGCTAATAATTTCAGGATTCTCCCTCCTTATAGAATAAGTTGATTCCAACAAACAACCTGTCAACAGGAGGCACCAAGACGCTTTGTGAACTTGGGCAGCTGGAGTCTCTGAATTTCAGAAAGATTACTTTAAAATAAGCACTATAAACTGGCTGTCAAGGCAAGCACTACGGCTAGTGGTAGTGTAAGTGTGCAAAGCTCTACTAGGTGCCAAATCTACCCACGGGAGTAGCAGGAGAGCCCATGGAATCAGATTCCCATGGAATCAGGCATGGTAGCAGGATTGCTAGTCTATAGACAGGCTGGTCTAGAGAGGGAAACTTTCAAATCAAAAAACCCACAACAACCCCAACATCTGTAGGGATTTCGGTGTGGCAGAGCACCTGTACCTGTCTTGTGTGTGCAAGGAAGGTCCTGCCTTCCTTCCCAGCACAACACAATGTGACTGACGGTGCTGCTGCTGAGGGCCATGTCAAGAATAAAGACAAGGAAAAAGTGCTGCTTATTCAAAATGCACACATAAACCATAAACACAAACAACCCAAACCAAAGGATCAAAAACTGTACTAAAATATTCTAAATCACTTCTTTCCCTGCCAAGAATCTGAAGAAAACTGTGGATCCTGTTGTCATCAGAAAACCAACTGGTGTTTTCCAGTGGTTTCTAGAAGGTGGCCTCCAAATTCTTTCATTCATGCTACACCTACAGTCACATTAAGCAGCTGACAGTCAGCCTCTGGCTACTTTAAGCTTACTGGGTGGGCTTTTTCTAGGCCTTGACAACAGAATGAACTTGACACAGAATCAGGCACAAGACTGACTTCAGCCTTAACATTTCAATCATGCTTAATAATGGACACTGAAGCCATGTCAACTTCTGACACTAGTATTCCATGTGCCTTCCTTTAAGTCAATGAAGGGGGAGTGCAGAAAGCTATCCTGTGTAGATACCAAGCAAATGTGGTTTAGACGAAAGACTATATAACATAGCCAATGACATGAAGTACCTTCCATGACAGGAAGGTAAGGCTTGTTTGCTAATTACACAACAACTGTGCACATGTGTATTTTACTCTTCCATCCCTTCTACACACACGGTACTAAAGTTCTGAATTAACAATGAAAGGTTAAATATTAAAAACTTGGGCCAGGCAGTGGTGGCACACACCTTTGATCCCAGCACTTGGGAGGCAGAGGCAGGCAGATCTTTGAGTTCGAGGCTAGCCTGGTCTACAGAGCCAGTTCCAGGACAGCCAAGGCTACACAGAGAAACAAAAAACCAAACTGAACAAAAAAGCCTTGGAGGTGGGGTGCTGGAGACACGGTTCAACAGTGAGGAGCACTTGCTGCTCTTCCAAGAGTCAGGGTGATTCTCAGCACCCACATTGTGCCTCACAACTGTAACTCTAGTTACAGGGGATCCAACACCCTATTTTGACCTCCACAAACAAACACCTGCACACATAGAGGATATTATTATTTATTTTTACTTTCTGTGTACAGGCGTGTTGGTGCACCACGTGTGTTCTGGTGTGCTTGGAGACCAGAGAGGGTATCAGATCCCCTGGAACTGAACTTAGATACCTGTGAGCTGCCATAGGGGTACTGGGAATCTAACTCAAGTCCTCAGGAACAAAATCTCTAGCCATCTTTCTAGTTCCTAACTTCAGAAATCTTAAATTTAACAAAATAAAATGATTCCCACAAAGGCATTTTTTCTCAATAATTTGTACCATGTCTAATATGAGATAAAGCAGAGTAAAATAATAGATAAATAGATAAAGCAGAGTAAAAGAATAAACAATAACTTATGGGCTTACTTACTGGTGATCACTGTAGTAACTACCTTTCAGGTACGTTATTTTCTTTAAAAATAAATCTCCCACAAGAGTATTATTCCTCTAGAAGCTTCTACAATTTAGGATTCAAAGCTTGGTAGATTTGACTTTACAATTCTCTTTTATTTTTTGGTTTTTCAAGACAGGGTTTCTCTGTGTAGCTTTGCGCCTTTCCTGGAACTCGCTTTGTAGATCAGGCTGGCCTCGAATTCGCAGAGATCCACCTGCCTCTGCCTCCCAAGTGCTGGGATTAAAGGCGTGTGCCACCACCCAGGACTTTACAATTCTTATTCCCTCCCTCCATCATTCAACTTGGCCACAGCCCTCTACCACCTACAAGGTTTCTCTGTGTAGCTGGACCAGGAAGGCCTAGAACTCAGATCTGCTTGCCTCTGCTTCCAAGTACTGGATTAAAGGCATGGGCCACCATGTCCAGCTTTAACTTGCTCATAATTAAAACAAACAGACGAACAAACAAATCTCCAGGTGAATTAATTTTCTACTTCTAGAAGTTGATGCTATAATTCTCTAACAGTTCTCTAAAATTTAAAAAACCATACTTCATATCAATTTGTGATAAAAGGCAGTTTAAAAATTCACCAAACCATTATATTTCCTGTTTATATTCTTTTGTAAACATTCTTTTTAAAAATGAAAGAAAAAAACATGTTAGAAAGTCTTGAAATACAGGAACTTCAAGTGTCAACTCTTCTATCTAGATAATCTCCATAGTAGAACACCTAGGTTGTTTATTTAACCAGCAGTAGCTAAGCAACCATGCAAAGTCTCATCTGGGAAAGCCTCTGGGAAGCAACGATTTGTCTACAGACTTAAAGTAGTGGAGAAGCCCTACCACCATCAACATTATTTTAAAAGCTCCTCTTTAAAAAGTAACTTTAGATTTTATGTATATGAGTGTTTTGCCTGCATGTATGTATAAATACCACATGCATGCCTGGCACCTGAGTTCTAGATCCCCTGGAACAGGCATTACAGATGGTTGTGAGCCACCATGTAAGTGCTGAGAGTGGAACTCAGGTCCTTTCCAAGAGCAGCCAGACATGTGAGTGCTGGGAATTGAACCTAGGTCCTCTGGAAGAGCAACCAGTGCACTTATAACCTCTGAGCCATCTTTCCAGCCCAGCTGTGTAGAATTTTATGCACACAACACACTTATGCTTTTAAAAGCTGCAGAGATTGTATGGAGAGTATTTATGTCTGTTTCCCAGGTTTTTTATAGTGTATCATTTTACAGTTATCATTGGGGGTACCTGGGTGAAGGGTACATAGATCTGCTCTGTACAATTAACATCTATAGTCATTTTAAAATAAAAAATTACAGTGGGGGGGCGGGGGGAGCAGCCAGTATTCTTAACCACTAAACTATCTCTCTAGCTCAAAGTTCCCACCTAATTCGTAAGTAGATGTTTATAAAATATGACATGATTAAGTGAGAAACTCACATCCAGGAACTCAAATTTGGAGAAAAATCTGTTTCAATATAGCTACAGTCACTATGTAACTGGACTTCTACCTTTTAGAACACTGACTAACAATTCTGTAATAATAAATGCTCTTACATTTAACTCAGTCTTAACTTTTAGTCAAAGCTGGGTGTGGTGGTATACACTTGTAATCCCAGAACTCAGCATGTTGAAGCAGGAGAGTTTGAGGCCAACCCAGTCTCAGTAGACCAAAAAGCACACCAAACTATCACCATCAACAAGAATACCAGATACACTGTCAAAACTAATTCAAGTTCTTTTGATAAGCAGATGTTACCCAAAGAGTAACTATCCCAAAGAAATTAAGTGTGTAGCTACAAATCTTGAACAGATGTTACATGAACAGACACAGTGATCTGGGTGATTGATAAGAGGTATTTTACCAAATTGAAAGGTCAGAGGGATCCAAGGAAAGTGCGAGGTACACAGATACACAAGAGTGACTGAGTGTTGTTGAAAACCAGTTTAGAAATTCACTCACCTCACAAACACTATATTAAGGAGTACTATGCCAAGTGTTGTCCTGGGTACTGGAGACAGAGAGAACAATGATTCTAACCTCCCCAGAAAAAACAGCAGGGTCATGGGGCAAGAATGAAATCCTAGCTTTTGAGGTGGAAGCAGAATTACCAAGAGTTCAAGGTCTGTCAAGATTACTCTGAGTTATTAGGCCAACTAGAACTACAGGGCAAGACTGTCTCAACCACAACTACACCCATTCCCACCAAAAAGGGATGTGGAGGTGCGGGCGTACCAGAAAACCAAACCAGAACAGTGTGTAAGATGGAGTTCTCTGGGGAAATGAAGAGTAAGGCAGGAGGGAATGAGGACAGGGAAAGAAGGCTGTTTCAAGAGCTTAGGGAATATTGGTCTTATCAAACATAATAATGCTGATTGACAAAGAACTGAGACACAGGTCAAGACAGGCGTTGGGGCTGGAGAGAGAGTTGATCTCTAGCACCTACATAGCAGCTTGCAAGTGTCTAATTATAATTAAACACATTAAAAAGGGTAGAGAATCGGCTGAGCAGTTAGCAGCACATACTGCTCTTGCAGAGGACCTGAGTCTGATTCTCAGAACCTGGATCGGTTGGCTCACAAGCATCTGGAACTCTATCTCCAGGGGGTGGGGAATGCCCTCTGACCTCTACACACAGAGACTTATAAATTTAAAAAGAAACCTGAAAGAATCCCAAAGAGTTTACATACAACACTTGGTAAGTTGTGAACCAATAACCAGCACTTCCCTGTCCCATCCTCGTCCTTACACTATCCTAAACTGCAGGGGCAGCCACCTCTCTACTGGAAGGGCCGGTCAGACAGTAACCATCATGTGTAAAGTCTGCTACAGCTACTCTGCAACCACAGCCCTAAACAAGCCAGCCACAGACGAGAAGATGTAAACTAATCAATGTGCCTGTGTTCCTGGAAAACTTCACAGAAGCGGAATTTAGAAATGCTACACTACAGACTAGTCTTTCTTTGGATTTTTAAGATACATGTGGACAGGGGTAGTGGCACATGTCTTTATTTATTTGTTTGTTTGTTTAATTTAATTTAACTTTTTTTTTTTTTTTTGGTTTTTCGAGACAGGGTTTCTCTGTGTAATTTTGGAGCCTGTCCTGGATCTCTGTAGACCAGGCTGGCTTGGAACTCACAGAGATCCGCCTGCCTCTGCCTCCCAGTGCTGGGATTAAAGGCGTGAGCTACTACCTTTAACCAAAAAAGAAAAGAATTGAGTGATATTCCATCTCCCATCTAAGGACGCTGCTTGTCATCATACTCATTCTCGTGCCCCTCTTTCTGGTATCCAACCTAGCACTTCACAAATGCTAGGCACATACCTTTTTTTTAATCACTGAGCAACACACTACCATTTACTCTTTTTTTGTTTGTTTGTTTTTTTTTGTTTGTTTTTTGTTTTGAAGCAGCTTCTTCCAGGACTACCAAACTGGCCTAGAATTCAAGATCTTTCTGCTCTTAGCAGACAGGCCGACACCTCTTCATCAGGTTAAGTTCCACTCACATATTTTAACTTCTTACTTTTTTTTGAGACAGGGTCTCACTCTAAGCCCTGGCTGGCCTCAAATTTTGCTATGTAGACCAGGCAGGACTAGAACTCACATGCCAGTCTCCTGAAGGGTGAGGTGTGCCACCAGCTCAGCTTTCATACACTTGTTATATGTAATTGTTTTGTCTGCATATGATTGCACTCCATGTGTGTTCCTAGTGCCTGTAGAGGCCAGAAGAGGGCATAGATCCCCTGGAACTGGGGCTAGTCAGTTGTGAGCTACCACCCGGGCTCTAGAAATCAAACCCTCCCTGGTCCTCGGGAAAAGCTGCCAGCACTCTACCACTCCAGCCCTTCACCCACATCTTAACTTTCCTATCACCAGTCTTCAAGAAGCCCCCCACCCCGCCCTTTTGGTTGAGACAGGCCATGGCTTTCCTGGTACTACTCAAGAGGTCCTGTCTCCACTGGGATGAAAGGTGTGAGAGGCTTTGAAGAGGCTCATAATCAGACAAGGTAGAGTAGCACAGGCCTAAAATCCCAGCACATGGCAAAAGAACCAATATCTAATTTTACCTGCTTTTCTTGATCAGTCTGACACCATCTATCTGGTGTCCTCCAACCCAAGCATTTAAATATCATCCATAAACACCATTCCCATATTACCTCCCTAGCTCTACACCTATTCCTAGCCCCAGCCAGAAACATCCAATTTCCTCTACACAGGCTGGCCTCAAACTGTCTTAATGAGTTATCAACTAACTCCCACAAAGAATTCCTTATACACTCATCAGAAACCAATACTCCCTTTCAGAATTTCAGTAAATGGCACTACTGTTCACAAGATTGGTACGGGGGAAAAAGTTGTTTTTTTTTTTTTTTTTTTTTGCATTAGGAATAAAAGACAAGAGCTATTTGGCTTCCAATTATATTTCAAATCAGATGACTTTCCACCTATTTCAACTCTACATCCCCAGTTCAAGCTAGTTGTATTTTAAATGAGCTATCTAAAAAAGCTACCATACCCAGGTGTGGTGGTTCACACCTTTAATCCCAGCAATCTGGAAGCAGAGGTAGGTGGATCTGAGTTTGAAGCCAGCCTACTCTACAAAATAAGTAGCAGACAGCCAGGATTACAAAGAGAACCCTTGTCCTTGGGGGGAGGGGCTTCAACAATTTCCTTTAGCTGGTCTATTCTCCACCTTGTCATCTCAGGAATACATTAGATTCATCTTTCTGCACAAATATAGAAGAGCTTAAAATCTGTATTATACACTCCCTGGCTAGCCACCCTTATCTCATTTTCTTACTCTTCCTTCAATATGTTCCAAACATTTTTTTTTTGTTGTTTTTGGTTTTTTGAGACAAGGTTTCTCTGTATAACAGTCATGGCTGTCCTGCAACTTGCTTTGTAGATTGGCTGGCCTTGAACTCACTGAGATCAGCCAGCCTCTGCCTCCCAAGTGCTGGGATTAAAGGCGTGTGCCACCACTGCCTGCTCCCTGGTATTTGACTAGGTCAAGTTCTCTCACACTTCAAGGTCTTTGGATTTGCAGTGACTGCTGCCTGAAGTTCTTTTCCTTTAACTCTCCCTAATTACTTAGGCTTGTAGGTCAAACATCAAATCCTGATGGTGCTTCCCTGATCCCTGATCTTGCTCTATTTCCTTTTATTTATTTATTTATTTATTTATTTATTTATTTATTTATTTTTTTTTTTGGTTTTTCGAGACAGGGTCTCTCTGTGTAGCTTTGCGCCTTTCCTGGAACTCACTTGGTAGTCCAGGCTGGCCTCGAACTCAGAGATCCACCTGGCTCTGCCTCCCGAGTGCTGGGATTAAAGGCGTGCGCCACCACCGCCCGGCTCCTTTTTTTTTTTTTTTAAATAGAGAGAAGATCAACAGGGCTTCACTACATAGTCCAGGCTGGTGTGGAACTCCTGTCAATCCTCTGCCTCAGTCTCCTGAATGCTTTGATTAAAGGTTTACAAGTTTCTGACATCACACCTATCCCTATTGTTTTTCAAACTTATTACCTAAAACTGCATATGTATATATTTGTGTATGTGTAGATTTTCCAGTATTGGATGTCTTTGTGTAGTTTTACTTAATAGAGGAGCAGTAAAGCATCTGAAGGGTATTAACACATCCAAGCATACATTTAAAGACTTTGCTGCTTACCTTCCAATCTGACACATTCCTCCCCCGCCAAAAAAACCCCAACTTTTCCTCAAGCATTTCTTAAGATCTGCACAATTTTAAGAACTTAATATATAGGAATATCTGACTATTCACATCGCAGTATTACCATCTAATAACAGATTCTCTCCATTTGAAATAAATGGATAAAAGCTGGGTGTGGTGGTGTACACCTTTAATCCCGGTAATTGGGATGCAGAGGCAGGTAGCTATGCAGGTCTACATAGTGAGTGCCAGGCAGGCAAGCAAGGGCTACATAGTTAGAGGGCCGGGTGGCACCTGCCTTTAATCCCAGCACTTGGGAGGCAGAGCCAGGCATATCTGTGAGTTCAAGGAAAGCCTGGTCTACAGAGCAGGATCTAGGACAAGCACCAAAGCTACACAGAGAAACCATGTCTCCAAACCCCTGCCCCCCTGCCAAAAAAAAAAAAAAAAAAAAATGGATATTTGTGTATTTTTTAAAATGGCATTATGAGGGAATAAACCAACAATTTTTGTGTGTGTGGTGCTGGAGAACCAACCCAGGACCTTTTGTATATTAGGCAAACATGCTATATCAAGATACAGTCCTAGCCTGGCAGTTATTAGAGAAATGACATACTTAAGATGAGAAGCCATTATAAATTAAATAGGGGGATGAGGACACAGAGTAGTTGCACTCCAGAGTGCTGACTCAGGGCAGCTGAGGTCCAAGGTTAATTCCATCCCAGCATGTTAAAAAAGGGGAGCAAGCTTGGTGGCCCACACCTCTAATACCAACACTTTGGAAGCAAAAGTGGATCTCTGAGACCCCTCAGGTTTACAGACAGGCTTCCGTGCCAGTCTATAGTACCCTGTGAGACTCTGTCCCCCCAACCCGAACAAGTGGTAAATAGCAATCTCAAATCAATAAATAACAAGTATCGATGGGAAAAAAATAGAGTCATTTTCCTCATCACTGTATTACTAGGATACTTGTGAACTTCAACCACTCAATAACATGAATTATATCATAACGTAAATGAGACCAGGTATTTATCATCTTAGGTCATTTAACAGAAAATAAAATGCAATTTGGGGACTAAAAAACAAATCTGACACTTTGAACAAAGTTGTAAAACCATTTCGATGGCTTTCTACACTGGAAAGTGCAGAGTAGCGATGCTTCCACTACAGACACAATTTCCATGCTCACAAAACTAGAAATTTCAGATCCTTAAGAAAAATTAAATAGGCACTGTACTTGGCACTAAATACTTCCTTTCAGATAAAACTGAGAGGCAGATAGGTGCACAAATACCCCAACCCACCCAGTCAGGCAGGGATTACCCAAGTTGCCCAGAACGTAAACTTTTTTTCCGGGTCCTACAGCTGAAAGGGGCGAGGGCTCTCTCCTGCGACTAGCGACTGATTTCAACAGTAAAACAAATCTAAGCGCACCGGAGGAAGGCAAAAAGGAAAAGCGACCCGGCTGCCATGCTCTTAACTCCACCCTCCCCGCGCTGCGCCTGGAAAAGGCCCAGCTCGCCCCCACCTCCTGTCCGGCCTCCTCCTTCCAAACCCACCGAGCTGATGTAGTTAAGGTCCCGCCGGAGTCCTCTCCCCTCCCCCCAAACCAGGAGCTCGGGAGGCCGGAGAGGCTCAGAGCTTCCGTTCCTTCCCCGCCCAGACGGGAAGGGGTGAGCGGAGGGATGGCCACTGCGCCCAGCCCCAGCCGCCCGAGCTCTCCAAGCGAAATCGGAGCCCCGCTCCCACCCCAGCCCGACACTCACTAGCCAGTCCCGCAGCCACCGCGCCGTGTCCCCACGTACCGCCACAGACCCTATTCAGGGCCGCCCCCCCAACCCCCAGCTGCCTACCCCCGTGGGTTCCGGGGCACAGGAAGGAACTACTTCCGTCGCGTCACAGCCGCCTTCTGCAACGCGCGGGAGATCGGTACCTGGCAAGGCGAAGACACGCTCTGCAAATAACTTGTGTCGGTAGGAAGTGCGTTGTTGTTCTAACCCTTATCTTCAGGAATACAGTCCAATTTAAGAGATAGCGTTAGCAAATCTCAACCAATGAGAAGCTAGGGCTTCTGGATTCCCAGAATGCAACGCCCTCCTGAGCCAATTTCTGCAAGGAACTGAACCGGTGCGGGCAGAGGTGCATTCTGGGATATGTAGTTTCTTACGAAGTTATGGTTAGGGTTAGGTCCCACGTGACATTGCATCTTGGGACTTGTAGTTTTCCGTGTAGAGGGTTGAAATTTTGATGGCTTTAAAGCTTGGCCCCTGCTCTCGTTTCTGTTTAGCCAGGAGGTGGGGGATGTCAAAGGAAGCCTAAGATGTGGAAATGCAGTATGTGTACAAAAGATCGTATTCTTGAGGAAGCGGCATCTGGCCTTTTGTGATAAGTAATACACATCTACAAGCATCTTAACAAGCTCGCGCAATGTGTTTGCCTCATTTCCTCTCTTCCCGGTATAGGTCCGTGTTTACCGAAACAGGCCACGCCCACCCGCCCTGCTCTCCTTTCGCCTACAGAACAGCTGCCTGCCACCATTACTCTAATCTGCGGAGCGTACCATTCTGCTCCTCACCCCCAGAAGCTCACCGCATTCCCGCACCCCCACACCCAAGGCATTTCATTGGCTTTCCCGTGGTTGCCCGGGGACCTTTCCTAGAAAGCTGGAAAAACAGCTTAGTCAGGTTTCTTTTCTGGTGTTTCATGAAATGGGCTTGAAAATGTAGATTCAAAATACTTACTCAACTAGTCGCAGTTGTGTAAAGAATGTCCACCAAAGGAAATATGTACGTGCGATTTGGAGTTCCTGGAACTAATGACGTTTTCCAAAGGGGCTTTGTTCTCGACTTTTTGAGCCAGGGTCTCTCAGTGTAACTATGTAGCCCAGACTAGCCTCGTATTTGGGTCAATCCTATCTCCTGCCACCATGCACAGAATTTCCCGATGTAATCCTAGGCTGCCCTCCAACTCCAATTTATAATTCTGCTGAAATTACTAGTGTTGGCTACTGTGAATGGCTCTGAAAGTTATTTTTTGGTTTGGTTTTGTTTTGAGACAGGGTTTCTCTGTGTAGCTTTGTGAGCCTTTCCTGGAACTCACGCTGTAGCCCAGTCTGGCCTGGAACTAAGAGATCCGCCTGCTTCTGCCTCCGGAGTGCAGGGATTCAAGGCGTGCGCCACCACCGCCCAGCTGGTTTGTTTTTTAAGTTGATTTGCAGACAATTAAAGGCTAAAATGGAGCACATGGCCCTGAATTAATTTTCAAAGGCTTTGGAAAAAAATAAAAGTGTTATGGTTGTAGCCATAGCTCAAAATGGTTTCATGGGAAGAGAGGCATTGGGTTGCAGAAGATAAAACTAAGGGGAAAATCTGAATAAACCTAGTGAGACCTGAGTTAATCTCCCTTTAGGCAGTAAGGGTGGGGCCCAAGGTCAATTATGTTTGACTCTGGATCCATCCATCCCTTAGGTTGGGGGCTAAAGAGGCAAGCATAAAGTGGGTGGATTTGGCAGGTAAATTCTGCAATATGCTGAAAAATAACAGGATTCCCTCTTAAAAGACACATAAAAGGCCACTGGACTGGACAAAGAGGCACTATTCCTTTGTTGGAGCTCCCACACTTAGGAGAAATGTACTTTTGGCTAGGTGTGGTGGCACATGCCTTTATTCCCAGTTCATGGGAGAGGCAGGTAGATCTCTGAGATGGAGGCCAGCCTGGTCTACATGGTGGCTCTCTCAAAAAAGGAAAGAAAGAAAATCGACACCTTTCCTGCTCACTACCTTGAGTTTCCATGCACCTCCACCGCCTGGCTTTCTTGGGCCCCGTTTAAGAAGTAAAGTCACATTTTGCCTGAGGCCAACCAGGGCCCAGCTGCCGATCCTGAAAAACCCAACAACTTGGAAGTGTTGGTGAGCAAAACGAGGACCTGAGAACACAAAGGAAGGAGCCGCCCAGCCACCGAACCAGATCACCAGAATCATAAGTCCACCCTACACCGACTGGGAACAGGTAAGCCCCCATTTCCAGACCGGCAGACCAGGTCTCTAGACCCTAGGCCCCAGCCATCAGAGTCCCAGAAACCAGAGAACTGCCTTTCCCTGCTCCCCCACCATAAAAACCCAACTCTTGCGAACCCAACAACCACTGGAGCCATAAGCCCACCCTGCACCAATTGGGAACAACTGCTCCACCAGACAGAACCCACTAACACTCATTGGACTAAGGTGCTCCCAGAGAAACAGAGCCCAACAGCACCAATTCGACCAAAAACTCCTAGTGGACCAAGACTATCAGTTAGAACAAAAGAGGCATCTTCAGACACAGACACCGCCTGCACCAAGCGGAGGAAGAGCTGAGTAGATGCTAGTGCAAAAATACAGGCAACAACATAAAGACCTATATGACATCATCAGAACCTAGCGATTCTACACCTGCAAGACCTGAATATACCAAGGTAGAAGAAGCAGAAGAAATCAATCATAAAAATGACTTTTTTTCCTCCCTTAAAGAGGAAATAAAAAATTCCCTTAAAGAAATGGAAGAAAAAAACAAACAAAAAATTGGAAGAAATCAAAGAAAGCCAAGAAAAAGTAATTAAACAGATGAAGGAAACAATTCAAGATTTGAAAATTGAAATTGAGACAATAAAGAAAACACAAACTGAGGGAATGCTGGAAATAGAAATTCTGACTAAACGAACAGGAACTACAGATGCAAGCATAACCAACCGAATGCAAGATATGGAACAGAGAATCTCTGACACTGAAGACACAATAGAGAAAATAGATTTGTCAGTCAAAGGAAACACTAAAGCCAAAAAAGTTGTAACACAAAACGTCCAAGAAATTTGGGACACCATGAAAAGACCAAACCTAAGAATAATGGGGATAGAAGAAGGAGATTACCAACTCAAAGGCACAGAAAATATATTCAACAAAATCATAGAAGAAAACTTTCCTAACCTAAAGAAAGAAATACCTATGAAGATACAAGAAGCTTACAGAACACTGAATAGGCTGGACCCCCCCAAAAAAAGTCCCCTTGCACATAATAATCAAAACACTAAACATACAGAACAAAGAAAAAATATTAAGAGCCACAAAGGAAAAAGACCAAGTAACATATAAAGGCAGACCCATCAGAATAACACCAGACTTCTCAATAGAGACTATGAAAGCTAGAAGGTCCTGGACAAATGTTATGCAGACGCTGAGAGACCACGGATGCCAACCCAGACTAATATACCCAGCAAAACTCTCAATCACCATAGACGGAATAAATAAAATATTCCATGATAAAACCAGATTTAAACAATACCCATCCACAAAGCCAGCCCTACAGAAAGCAATAGAAGGAAAAATCCAACCTAAAGAAACTAAACACACCCATGAAAACTCAGGCAATAGATAATCCCACACCAACAAATACCAAAGAAGGGAAACACAACACTACCACAAAAAAATAACAAGAATTAACAATCATGGTCATTAATATCCATCAATATCAATGGTCTCAACTCACCTGTAAAAAGACACAGGCTAACAGAATGGATACGAAAACAGGATCCATCCTTCTGCTGCATACAAGAAACACACCTCAACTTCAAAGATGGACACTATCTCAGAGTAAAGGGCTGGGAAAAGGCTTTCCAATCAAATGGACTTAAGAAGCAAGCTGGTGTAGCTATCCTAAAATCTAATAAAATAGACTTTAAACTAAAATCAAGTGAAAGAGATCGGAATGGACATTACATATTTATCACAGGAAAAATCCACCAAGATTAAGTCTCTATTCTGAACATTAATGCCCTAAATACAAAGGCACCCACATTTATAAAAGAAACATTATTAAAGCTTAAATTGCACATCAAACCCCACACACTAGTAGTGGGAGATTTCAACACACCACTCTCACCAAAAGACAGATCTACCAGACTGAAACTTAATAAAGCAATAAAGGACCTAACAGATGTTACGACTCAAATGGACTTAATAGATAACTACATGGGCTGGAGAGGTGGCTCAGAGGTTAAGAGCACCGACTGCTCTTCCAGAGGTCCTGAGTTCAATTCCCAGCACCCACATGGTGGCTCACAACATCTGTAATGAGATCTGGCGCCCTCTTCTGGCCTGCAGGGACACATGCAGGCAGAACACTGTATACATAATAAATAAATAAATAAATTTAAAAAAAAAAAAAAAATAGATAACTACAGAACATTCCACCCTAACACAAAAGAATGTACCTTCTCAGCACCTCATGGAACCTTCTCAAAAATTGACCACATGCTTGGTCACAAAGCAAATCTTAACAGATACAAAAACATTGTGATAACCTCCTCCTGTATCTTATCAGACCACATGCCTTAAAGTTAGATTTCAACAACAAAAACTATAGAAAGCCTACAATCTCATGGAAACTGAAGCACCAATGGGTCAAGGAAGAAATAAAGAAAGAAACAGACTTGCAAACAGCAACTCAGCTCTTACAATAAATGGAAACTTATTTCTAACAATAAAGCATAATGGCTCCTGCCTTCAAAATGGAGTTAGGCAGGTTCCTCAGGATCTTTAGGGACACACTTACATTTTTTTTTAGGAAAAAACAACAAACAATTGTTTCATACCCAGAAGCATTTCTGTACCCTTTTGTACCTTCCATCTCTATGATCTATACTGTGTCCCTGTTTTTCTTAAAAGAAAAAATTAGATATGTGTGTGTAAATGTTTTGTCTGTATGTATACCACATGCGTGCCTAGTTATCATGGCGTCAGAAGAAGGCGTCAGATCTCCTGCAATTAGAGTTATGAGTTACAGGAGATTGTGAGCCACCACCATGTGGGTGCTGGGAATTGAATCCAGGTCCTCTGCAAGAACAAGTACTCTAAACTGCTGAGCCACGGCTCCTATCTGGCTTCCCAAATAAGCTGAATAGTCAGCTTATATAGGCAGAAAGAGTATGGCAAGGATGTCTACATTAATCATGGCAATCTTTTATGAAAAAAGAAGGACTGTCCACCATTCAAGGCAGCTTTTTCTTTTTTCCCCTTGATTTTTTGAGACAGGGTTTCTCCATGTAGTTTTGGTGCCTTTCCTGGATCTCACTTGGTAGCCCAGGCTGGCCTCGAACTCACAGAGATCCGCCTGGCTCTGCCTCCCTGAGTGCTGGGATTAAAGGCGTGTGCCACCACCACCCTGCCTTCAAGGCAGCTTTCACGCAAATGCAGGTCAATGCTTGCACCAAACTGGTAGTCTGGCTCTAATCTCAGGCTTTCTGCTGGGCCGCTGGGAGAAGTACACCTCTGCTCCAGCTGAAAATGGCTTAGAGGTCATCTAGAGTTCACTAAGAGGGAAAAAGCCCAGTGTAAACTAAACAGTTGTGACTGGGGTAGTACCTTCAGGAGCCAGAATTGAGCTTTGGCAACAGGCAGCTGTTGTCATGCCGTTTTTTCAAGGCATTTGTGGAGTGTTCTCGGCAGCCTGAGGACATTGGGGCAATTTGGCTGGCTCTTTAGCTTGATAAAGCCTGTGTTCGAAACATCCAGGGCACTAGGGAATCGACCAAGAGTTGTCAACTTATTCAAAGGAACAGTAAGCACAGAGAGGATTATTTAATAAACATCGGCTTTCATCATTTAATAGCGTTCCAACAATACTTGATTCCTGCTTAAGTGCACCGGGGAGAGGTGGGTTCCTCTAATTCGTCATCTCTTTCCAGCTAGAGCAGTGGTTTTCAACCTTCCTAATGCTGCAGCCCTTTAATACAGTTCATGTTGTGGTGACATCCCCCTCCCCGCTATAAAATTATTTGCTACTTCATAACTGTAATTTTGCTACTGTTATGAATGGTAATGTAAATATCTGATGTGCAGGATGTCTGATATGCAACCCCCAAAGGGGTGGAGACCCACAGGTTGAGAATGCTGAGCTAGATGATCATTTTTCCAGGTGCAGCTGACTGTGAGGTTGATCTGAAAACATTGGGAGGACAGATTTACCAAGTTCTCTTTTGGAAACGTATGTAGCATTTTGTAAAGCAGTGTATTTCTATTATAATACAACAGCAGTATTTCTAGCTTATTTTTGGGTGTTTGTCCCATTACATATTAGCATCATGGTTTTCCAAATTTATCCAGTAACTGTGCTGCCTCTATTACTAAGTCCTGGCAATAGGCACTAATTATCCTCTGCTTTGCGGGGGTGGGGGGTGGGGGGGAAGGTATACAGTGTTGATACAAAAACAACTCTTACTTCAAAGGAGATAAAAGATGGTGGAGGGGCCCCAAAACAGCTTAACTACCCAGCTGCCATGACAGGCTTAGGGACCTAGACACAGCTTCTGTGACAGGCTTATTGGCAGATCCAGGAAAAGCCTTAAGCTGATACCACCCAGGGATGAGGAAATACCTAACATCCCAAACATTGCAACCATTAGATAAGGTGGCCAGACATCCCTGAGTCTAGCACACACCTATTTTTGTTTTACAGATACCCCTAGACAATTGTCAGCCAATCAGGGTCCTGAACCCTGGAAATTCCCTCACCCCAACCTCTGCTATGATAAAAACTCTGCCCCACCTGAGCTTGGGGCTCTCTGTTCTCACCGCTTTGTCCAACAGACAGAGAGACCAAGCTCAGAGCTTGAAGATAATACTCTTTGCTTTTACATTTGGGATTTGGTCTCCATGGTGGTCTTTTGGGGGTCTCTGAAATCTGGGCATAACAAGATAATTTCCCCGGGAGCCAAATGAGTGACCATGGCCCGGGAACACAGATTTAGGTCACCCATATTCCATGTTCCAATGTGGAAGTATTTTCATGAAGCTTTTATAGCAACAGAATAAAATGAAAGTCATCAGTCAAGACACATTTCCACATTGGTGGAACCATTAGGTGTTGGGCTGACCAACAACAGGTAGGGAGGAGGCAGGACCGGTCCAGCTGGTCTCTCCACAGGGCTGAGCTTATGGTGAGTGTCAAAGGCCCAGACCTCCCCATTCCACGAGAGAGAAGCACACTGGGCCAGGAGTCTTGTCAAAGCAGGAATTCCTTTTATTGCATCAGGAGTGGACTTATATAGGTTGGGGTGCTGGGAGCGGGATGGGGTGAGGATAGTGGGCCAATGAGATGATGCTATCTCAGCAGTTACTAGGCAGAGGCGATTCTAGGTCGGGTAGAGCTGAGTCACTCATATGCGATGCGGAAGTCATGTCCGACAGGTCACCATACTCGAGCTAGGCTCAGGAAGTTACACTGGGCCTCACACCTGGGCCTTATGGGGCCCAACAATTAGGTAGGTTAAAACAAGGTGGGGAAATCTGTTTTAGGTTTTCGGTTGGTTGGAAACCTAGTTCTCTGTACATTCCAAATAAAAACTCTATGCTCTGTTCATGTGTTCCAGATGAATTCATGAAGATATCATCTACAGAGTGTCTGGGCCCAAGAAATCCCTTTTCCCAAAGTCTGGAATTTAGACAAAAAGCCAGGACCCCATCAGGAACTTGGGAAAATAGCTTCTACCTGCTGAAAGGAAGCAGTCTCCTTCTCTCTATCTCCAGCAAAAGGAAACTCTGGCTCTCCCATTAACACATATCTGTGGTGCCTCTTGGCATATCAAGGTCTATTATACACTCCAAAGCCCTTCACCCCAGCTTGCAGACTCCCCTCCTCCCAAGCACCTGTTTCCCTTAAAGCCTTGGACGCCTCCTCTCCCCACAATCACTTCTCTCCGCTTCCCTGAGCACCGTGGCAGTTTGGAATAGCTGTTTCCTTTTTACCCAGAGAGCTGCTATTTTAGTTCCTTTACTGCACCCATTTCATTCAGTGGTGCTGAAAACCTAGGAGAGACATAACTGAGTGTGGTGGTTTGAAAGAAAATGGCCCCAAAGGGAGTGGCACTATGGGGAGGTGTGGTCTTGTGTTGTTGGTTGTTTTGCTCTTGTGTGTGTGTGTGGGGGGGTGTCGCCAGCCAACTCCCAAAGAAATCACACACAGAGGCCAGCCTTAGCTTGGCCTGTTTCTTGTCAACTTTTTTTATTTTATTATTTTTTTTAACTTAAATTATCTCTTTTGCCTCTGGGCTTTTTCCTTTTCTTACTTCTGTATATCTTATTTTCACTCTTACTCTGTGCTGCATGACCACACATGGGCAATTCAGGAGCTAGGCAAGGGGGTCTTGCATCTTACATCATCAGTGTGCGCTGATGATTACATAAGCGAGGTATGGTCATGCAATCTGCACATCCATGGCATAGCTTGGTAAGCCCACCTGCGCCTTAAAGAGCCGGACAGACCCCTACCTCCTCTCTCTGTTCTGTTCTCTCTTCCCCTCACCATCTTTCTCTCTCTTCTCTCTGCACACGTGTCTCCCCCAGGCCTGGTTCTTCTGCCCACCCCTCCCTGCTTCCTCCTAATAAAGCTCTGATACTGCGTTTTGTCGTGGCCGTGACCTTTCCACGCAGTAACCAGCACCGCTTATCATTCTTACAGTGTCACTGTGAGGGCAGGCTTTGGGGTCTCTTTTGCTCAAGTTTCCCTAGGTGTGATTATTAGTTGACTTCCTGTTGCCTTTAAGATGTAGCACTCTCAGCTCCAGCACTGTGTCTGCCTGCACAAGGCCATGCTCCCCATCATGATCATAATGGACTGAACCTCTGAAACTGTAAGTGTGCCACCCCAATTAAATGTTTTCTTTATAAGAGTTGTCATGGTTACAGTGTCTCTTCACAGCAATAAAAACCCAAACTAAAACAATGATCCTCCCTCCAACAAGCTCAGCCTCTCTTAATTGAACCAAATTACCAATTTTGCCTTCTTGGGTGTGGATCACTTGCTCAGGCTGAATTCTGCCACCGGGCATATTTTGGCTCCAAATTCTAGAGTTCAGCTCTTCAGCTGCTCTCCCCGCAACCGGCTCTAACCACTCTCCTAGACTATTGAGTAAGTGTCCTTTGGGCTCCTGAAGCCCTCCAAGCCTGTCTGGGCATCTCTCCATACTAAGACACTTTCCTCTCCCTCTACTGAAACCCTGCCTTTTCCCCAAAGCCTCTTCCAATCCAGTTGTCTTCTCCTCTACCTGCTCTAAGCACTCCTTTCTCCTTGTCTGCTGGGTGTCACCCCAGAGCTCTCTGCTTTGTTTACTATAAAGCCATACCAGGGTGCCAGGAAGCTCCTGTCACCACCACTGGCCTCCAACCACAAGGACAAGGGACGCCTTTCCTCTGTGATTTGGAACATTTCTCTTTAACAAATCTCAGTCTTTTGGGGGATGCCCTGGATTGAGATTCTTGTGACCACACTTACCCTTCCTCTATTTCCCTTGCCTAAGTCTCCATTCCCCTCCCCTCTGCACTCCAAACCCTCTCAGATATCCCTGCCTCTGGCTATGCTCTCCCTCATATCTACACAATAAAACTTCTCTACCATACAAGGAGCAGTCATGTTTCCTTTCTATTTTTTTTCTTTTCCATTTACAGAAGAGGGCAATAAATGACTATTAAGAGGTCTGCTGATGGCCCAAGATAAATTGGATCTGGATTTGCAACATTATAGACACTCCACAATCACTGAATGATAGGCAAGCTGCATTCTGCTCCCCTACATGATACCTCTTTAATGGGCAAAGAATAAATGTGTGTATGGATGAAAATGTCTGCCAACAAAATTGAAAACTAGATTATGTGAAAAAGTTCCATTTCCTCCTATCTCAGTGATTGAATTATATTATCACTCATTTTATTCACAGCATATAAAGTATTGCATTCTTTTTTTTTAAAAAAGATATATTTCTTTATTATGTACACAGTGTTCTGCCTGCACGCCAGAAGAGGGCACCAGATCCCATTATAGATGGCTGTGACCACCATGTGGTTGCTGGGAATCGAACTCAGGACTTCTGGAAGAGCAGCTAGGACTCTTAACCTCTGAGCCATCTTTCCAGCCCAAGTATTGCATTCTTTTTTTTTTTTTTTAAAGATTTATTTATTTATTATGTAATCAGAAGAGGGCGCCAGATCTCATTACAGATGGTTGTCAGCCACCATGTGGGTGCTGGGAATTGAACTCAGGACCTCTGGAAGAGCAGTCGGTGCTCTTAACCGCTGAGCCATCTCTCCAGCCCGTATTGCATTCTTTTGGGGCTGATATGCTAGAATTATTTCTGATAGGCTAGAATTATTTTCTCAAACCACTTTTTTTTTTTTTCCAAGACAGGGTTTCTTTGTACAACAGCCCTTGCTGTCCTATCTCTGCCTTCTGAGTGCTGGGATTAAAGGCGTGCGCCACCAAGCCCGGCTTTCCAAAACGACTTTTTTTGGTTTTTCGAGACAAGGTTTCTCTGTGTTGCTTTGGAGCCTGTCCTGGAACTCACTGTGTAGACCAACTGGCCTCGAACTCATAGAGATCCTCCTGCCTCTGCCTTCTGAGTGCTGGGATTAAAGGCGTGTGCCACCGCCGCTAGGCTATGAAGTATTTATTTAACGAGGCTTCTGGGCTTTGTCTTTTCACATGCCTCCCCACTCTGTTCTCGTACATGGTCATAGAGCAGACCAAGAACCCGGAACCCACTCTAGGCAGGGAGTTGGAATTCGCGGATCCTCTGCTGCCGGGAACCAACTAGGTAGGGCAGGTTGCAGGCCGGCGGCATACTCTGCGCACGCGCGGGCACCAATCCGGCTGCGTGGTCAACCCTAGGGGGCGGGGCCTCGCCGCACTTCCGGGCTTCTGCGGCGAAGACCTGCTTTTTGGCGTCCTTGGCCGCAGCGGGGAGGGTGTCAGCGGCTGCACCAAACTCGCGCTATGCTGCTGTTGGCTTTGGGCGGCCGCTGGGCCGCGGGACCCGGAGGGAGGAGGGCTACATGGTGTGCGGTCGCCGCGCTCCGAGGTTCCGGGGTCGCCTTGTGGCGTGCGGCCTCCCGCGCCGAGCCCTCGCGACTGCTGAGCGGCGGGCTCCTGCAGCGAGCCGAGCCGGGCCTGCGACCCGGGGGAGCGCAGGTCGGCCGTCCGTGCATGGGCTGGGGTTGGGGGAGCGGGCGTAGCGTGCGGTCTGGGGGAGCTCCGGGCCTCCTGTCCTGAGCTCCAGTGCGGAGGGAGCCCTCCGTGTGCGGGCCCGGGAAGGGCAGGCCTCGGCCTCGGGTCCGCCTGCGGCTGGCGGTCCAGGCATGAGCAGCCTGCAAAGGGAGAAAGTGATTCTTCTTTCCTGGGCTGTTCAGGCATTTCACAGGTTGTTCCAGTTTGTGTGGTTTGTGATAACGCTGAGTTTAGTTTCTGCGCGCGCGAGAGTGCATGTGTGTTTAAAGACAAGGGGTCTCCGCTGGCCTGAATTCGCTAAGTAGACCAAGTTGGCCACGAACTCACAAAGACCTGCCTGCCTCTGATTCTCTAGTGGTAGGATTTAAACGCGTGCACCACCACACTGGAACTCTTTCTTATCCCAAAGCTGAAGGTCAGAAAGGTTGATTTGCTAAGAAATTGGTGCAGTGCCTGAAGACAGATTCGAAAGAACTCACTGAGTTCTGTGTTTATCTCTGTTTTTAGGAATTTGATTGCTGAGAGAAATATAAGAATTAATAAACTTTGCGGGGTGGGGTGGGGCGGGTTGGTGATGCTTGCCTTTAATCCCGGGAGGCAGAGGCGAGAGGATCTCTGAATCTGAGGCCAATCTAGTCTACAAAGCTAGTTCCACGACAATCAGGGCTGTTACACAGAGAAACTCTTGTCTCAAGACAAACACACAAAAAAACAACACCAAAACATATTAATAATAAACTTTGAAGAAATGCCTAAAGTGGAAATTGGATTATTTGGTTTTGTTTGGTACTTTTGGAGCAGGGTTTTGATATGTAGTCTTGGCAGTTCAGGAACACACAGACCAGCCTGGCCCTGGTTTCAAACTCAGAGATCCTCCTGCCTCTGTCTCCTGAGTTGCTGTGATTAAAGACATCTGCCACCATCCCGAACAGATATTAGATTCTTAGCTGAATTTGAACACAAAGAAATTAGGCTTACTTTTTACATTTTTAACTATGAGCAGTATGAAATTCATTTTTAGATATTCATTTTCATATATTTGGAAAACTTCTGATACTGTGAAATTTCATGTAGCATTCAAGTAATATTTTTAAGAGAGAAAAGGGCTGGGTATGGTGTCATATATTTATAATCCCAGTGGTAGCTCATGAGGCTGAGGCAAGAGATCAGCATGGGCTCTATTATGAGTTGGAGGCCAACCTGGACTATATTGTGGAGACCTTTATCCTCAAAACAAAAATGAGGTACAAGGTACTTACAAGGCTTTTAGTCTTTTTTAAAAATACTAGTTGTAAGCCTGGCAGTGGTGGTCTACGCCTTTATCCCAGCACTTGGGAGGCAGAGGCAGGCATGCAGACATTAAAGCTACAGGCGTGGCAGGGTGATCTAGCCTGTTGTGGGCACTTGCCTTTATGACTATGGCTTGATCTCTGGACATTGATGTACTCACACTTGTGCACACCTACCACGACACAACCTCAATTCACAGTGCTTTGCTAAGATTATTGCATTAAAATTAATTTTAAAAACTATTTGTGCATATGTAGTGTATGTTTACGCATACCTGAAGGTCAATATTAGGTATCTTTTTTTGTTTTTCTGAGACAGGGTTTCTCAGTATAGTCCCAGCTGTCCTGGAACTTGGTCTGTAGCCCAGGCTGACCTGGAACTCTGAGATCTGTCTGCCTCTGCCTCCTGAGTACTGGGATTAAGGAGGTGCACCAGTACTATCTGGCTGGGTGTCTTTTCTATCATTTTCAACTTAATTTATTTTAAGATTTTTATTGTATATGTATGGGTGTTTTGTCTTCATGTATCTCTGTGCACCACATGCTTGCAGTACCCATGGAGGCCAGGAGAGGGTATTAGATCACATGGACGTGGGCTACAGAAGGTTGTAAGCAGCCATTTTGGGGACAGGGACCCAGTTCTGATCCTCTAGAAGAGCAGTAAGCCCTCTTAAGCACTGAGCCTCTCCATCCATCCCCAACCTGATTTTTTGTTTTGTTTTGTTTTTGTTTTTCGAGACAGGGTTTCTCTGTATAGTTTTGGAGCCTGTCCTGGATCTCGCTCTTTAGACCAGGCTGACCTGGAACTTACAGAGATCTACCTGGCTTTGCCTCCGGAGTGCTGGGCTGGGATTAAAGGCTCCTCAACCTGATTTTTAAGAGATAAGGTCAGCCGGGCGGTGGTTGGTACATACCTTTAATCCCAGCACTCAGGAGGCAGAGCCAGCAGGATCTCTGTGAGTTCAAGGCCAGCCTGGTTTACAGAGTGAGATCCAGGACAGGCTCCAAAGGGAAAAAAAAAGTGTATTGGGGATCTTCATAGACTCTTCTTAACTAAAAGAAAAAAAATAGATAAGGTCTTTCTTAATATGAATGTCTTTATGTCACATTGTAACAAGTTGTCTTCATTATAAATAAATAAAAATAAAGCTTTGATTAAAAACTAAAAATTTATTCAAAAAGCCAGTTAGTCAATGGTTTCTTGTTTCAATAGATACCTGTTTGTTGGAAGCAATGTGTGCGCTGCTTACATACACAGTTTGATAAACCAGAAGATGGAAGACTGATTTATACTGGGAACCTGGCCCGTGCAGTATTTGGTGGGTAATCTGAAGTGATGTCATTCCTTTTTTTTTTTCTCTTTTTTTTATTTTTGAGATTATAATTTAATTGTATTTCTCTCTTCCCTCTTCCTGCCTTCAAACCTCCCATATATTCCTCCTTACTCTCCTTCAAATTCATGGCCTCTTTTCTTCACTAATTGTTATTGCATGTGTGTGTGTGTGTGTGTGTGTGTGTGTGTGTGTTTGTCTACTACTATAACCTGCTACTTGTTTGTGTTTTCAGGGCTGACAGTTTTGCACTGGAAAACCAGTGGGTGTACTCTTCTCTGGGGAGGACCACTTCTCCCAAGCCCAGCTTTACTCAATTGCCTATAGTTCTTTGTGTGGGGTTGAGGCCTCCTGGGCTTGTCCCTACCCAGTAAACTTTTATAGCATGTCACCTATGTTCTTAGCATCACTCAATTATTATAACACATGAGGAAAATTGTTTTTTTCCTTGAAGCCGTTGATAGAACGGAGAGGTGGAGACTTTCCCTTTTAGGAGTTTTAAAGATGTTTGAAGATGCGGGCGGCAGTGGTGGTGCACGCCTTTAATCCTAGCACTTGGGAGGCAGAGGCAGGAGGATCTCTGTGAGTTTGAGGCCAGCCTGGTCTACAAAGCAAGTTTCAGGACAGCCAGGACTGTTACAGAGAGGAACCCTGTTTAGAAAACAAACAAACAAAGGTGGTTGAAGGCTGAATTGTGGTTTTGTGATCTTACAACTAGGCATTGAGGCATTGAAGCTTCCCTTCTTAGGTCACTTGTCTTAGAGTATTCAACAGAAAAATGGAAATGTTTGACTAGTCTTTAAGAAGCGGGAGAATGTTGTTATGGTTTGATTTAAACTTCCCCAGCTGGTGGCACTGTTTTTGAGAGTTGTGGAAACTTAAGGCCTTCCTCTAGAAGTAGGTCACTGGGGGGTGAGTTCTTGGGTGAAGGAGTATCTTGGTCCTGGCTCCTTGTCCCTCTCTCTGCTTCCAGGTTGTCATGAAGGTCTTCCACTATGTAATACACTTGTTGGCATGATGTTGCCCAAGTACATAGAACTAAGCAACTGTGGGCTGAAATCTCAGAAATAATGTGTCAAAGTTACCATTTATTTATCTATCTATTTATTTAATTAATTGATTTATTTATTTGTGTGCATTGGAATTTGCCTGCATGTATGTCTGTGTGAGGGTGTCAGCCCTGGAGCAGAAGTTACACAAGGTTGCGAGCTGCCATGTGGGTGCTGGGAATTGAACCCTGGTCCTGGTCCTCTGGAAGAGCAGTTAGTGCTCTTAATTACTGAGCCATCTCTCCAGCCCCCACCTTTTTCTTTCTTTTTTTTTTTTTTTTTGGTTTTTCGAGACAGGGTTTCTCTGTGTAGTTTTGGTGCCTGTCCTGGATCTCACTCTGTAGACCAGGCTGTCCTCGAACTCACAGAGATCTGCCTGGCTCTGCCTCCCAAGTGCTGGGATTAAAGGCGTGTGCCATCACCGCCCAGCAGGTAATGCAGACTCTCCAAGTCGGTGGGAAAGAAAAGATGAATGTGCCCTATAACCAGCCATATGTGCAGTGTTATGATTAGATAGGAGTTCAAGCTGAGGAGAGAACAACAAAGTGATTGCATCCAGATGGCTTCCATTAGGTCTCGTCTGACTGAAGAGATGAGAAAGGAGCACAGAGGCAGGAAGGTTGTCATGGTTCCTACTGTTTGTCAGCTTGAAGGGATCTAGAGAGCCTCTGGGTGTGTCTGAGGGAGAGTGCATAGATTAGTGTAGTGGAGGTGGGAAGATCCACCCTAAATGTGGGTTTTGCCATTCCATATGTAGGGTCCTGAGCTGAATAAAGAGGAGAAAGCTATCTCCTGACTGTGGTGCAGTGTGTCTGGTCACATCCAGTTCCTGCTGCTCCGCTTTCCTAGCTAATAGTTTCTTTTTAGAAACTGCAAAGAAACGTATTTTCTTACAGTTCTGCAGGCTGAAAGTGTCAAGTGAGGTATGCGCTGGGCCATGCTCTCGAAGGCTCTAGGAAGTATTCTTACCCCCTCCAGCTTCTGGTGGCTCCTGGCAGTCCTTGGTGTTCGTGGCTTGTAGCTTGCCTGACTTTGACTGCTGCTGGTTTTTCCTATGGCGGCCTTCCCTGTGTCTCTTACTTTTTCTGCCCTTATAAGGGCACTCTCATTAGATTTAGAGCCCACCTTAATCCAGCATGATCTCATCTTGTTCTTTAGATCTGCAAAGATCTTATTTCCAAATAAGGACACTGAAGTTCTAGTGAGGCATCAGTTTTAGGGGACACTACTTAACTCACTTCAATGTAACGGAAGGAATAGGAAAAGAAGATATTTTGGAAGGGGTGAGTTATAGGAGGCACCATGGTCCTCATTTATTTCGTGCATGCTGATGTCATAACAACCAACTGTGGGAAGAGGAAGGGAACTATTTTTAAATTACTGACAATGTAATTAAACTTTCAGCCAATAGCAGTATTTAAGAGTGGCTGCTTAGTTCCAGCTTCATAAACAGTTGTCAGACTTGTTTTTGTCAATTTGGGGGGAAGCAGTAACGTCAATTTTAATTACATGTATCTTATGAATGAGATTTTTGTATCCATTTATTTAAACTTCTTTAAAAGGCCAGTTATATATTTGCCCTTAAAATGTCAAGCCTTTTGGTTTTCTTATTCCACGAGCATTTTGTATGTTGGGGATACTGATCCTTCTGATATAAATTCAAAATATTTCTGTCAGGGACAGGATAGAGCCTCAAACTTGCTATGTAAAGTAGGCTGGCCTTGAACTGATCTTCTGTTCCCGTCTCACATGCTGACATTACTGGTGTTGCCCGTGCCCAGCTGTGTTTTGGTGTTGCCACATGCCCGGCTGTGTTTTGGTGTTGCCCATGCCCGGCTGTGTTTTGGTGTTGCCCATGCCCGGCTGTGTTTTTCTTTTCTTCTTTCTTTTTTAAAACGTAGTCAGACTGCCAGTCTTTTGACCCTGGCTGTTTCTGGAACTTAAAAAAAAAGATTTAATTTCTTTTTAAATGTGCATGTGACTGTGTCTTTATGGGAGTATGTCACACGAGTACGGATGTCCTCAGAGGCTGGAGATGTCGGATCCCTCGGGCTGGAGTTTCAGGCAGTTGGAGCCACTAGAAGCGGGTGCTGGGAACTGAACTCTGAAAGAGCAGTACTGGCTCTGAACTGCTAAGGCACCTCTCCTCCACCCCGTGTGTGTGTGTGTGTGTGTGTGTGTGTGTGTGTGTGTGTGTGTGTGTGTGTGTGTGTGATCTCATGTTGTCCAGGCTCTCCTCCCTCAGACCTGCTGTGTAACTGAGGCTGGGTTTCACTTCTGCGTCCACCTTCCACGTTCTAGGAGTTCATGTTTGTGCCAGCATGTCCAGCTCTGTTTCTGTATTGATAGTCATACTCAGGACTTTCCATTCCAGATTATAAAGGACTTCATGGATACATCTATGATGCTTTTTGTCACATTTAAATCTCTGAACTCTTCGGACTTTTGATGGCTTATGGTACAATGTATGGGTTGAATTTTATCATTTTCTTTTTAAATTTTTAAAATATTATTATTATTAGTGGCGGGGGAGGGAGGGACATGGCACATGTGTAGAGGTCAAAGAACATTATAGCTGGACATGAATTTAATCCACCATTTAGGAGGCAGAGGCAGGGGGATCTCTCCAAGTTTTATTTTTTGAGACAGAGTCTTGATGTATAGCCATGGCTGAACTTGAACTCACAATTTTCCTGCCTCAGCCTCATTCATGAAGGTCAAATTACTTGGGTTTGAATCCCAACCCAACTACTTAGTAACTAGTTATATGGCATTGTGCATTGCTTCCTCCCCTCCTTAGTGTGGGGCTGTGGGTGTGGGTGGTTATAGGGGTGAGGGAGGGGGTGAGGGAGGGCGTGTGTATGTATGTATGTATGTGCGTGTGTGTGACAGAGGTCCATGTCAGGTATCCGCCTCTGTTGCACCTGTCCTACCCTCATTCTGTTCCTGTTGCACGATACTCTGACCGAAAGCAGCTGAGGGAGGTTAGATGTGCTTCAGCTGCCAGACTGCACTCCATCATTGAGGGGAGTTAGGCAGGGGCTCCGGCAAAAACTTGAAGTGGAAACCGTGGAGGAATGCTGCTTGCTGGCTCACTCACAGACTATGCTAGGTTTCTTTTGCAGCCCAGGACCACCTGCCCTGAGAATGGTGCCACCAAAGTGGGCTGGGCCCTCCTCTACCAATTACTAATCAAGACAGTCCTCTCTAGACATGCCCCCAGGCCAGTCTGATCTGGACAGTCTCTCAGCTGAGACTCCCTTCTTAGGTGACTAGGCTATGCCACGGTGATGGTTAAAGCTAACTACAACAAATCTCATTGAAGTTGGAGATTTTTGGTTTTGGTTTTTTGAGACAGGGTTTCCACTGTGTAGCTCTGTGTGTTCTGGAACTCAATCTGTACTGAACTTGACCTTCAGATCCTCCTTCCTCTGCCTCCTGAGTGCTGGGATTAAAGATAGCATGTGTTACCATGCCCAGCTTGGAGATCATCATTTTGATTAGACTGGCTGGCTAGCAAGCCAGTGGGAATCTGCCTGTCTTAGCCTCCCCCGCCATGGAGTTAGAGAGGTGTGCTGCCATGCTCAGCTTTTCTGTGGGTGCTAGAGATCAGAACTCAGGTTCTCATGCTGTACAGCAAGCACTTTACCTGCTGAATGATCCCCAGCCTGGAGCTTTGACTGGCCTGTACCTCACTCTGTATCCCAGGCTTGCTGTAAACTTAATGATCTGATCTTCCAGGCCTTGCCTCTAGTACTGGGATCATAGATATGAGCCACTCAGCTTCTGTTTTCCTCAGTGTTTAAGATTTTCTCAGTGCTGGGGGTCAACCTAGGGCAGCAAGCATGCTAAGCAAATACACCCCATAGGCTAATTCGGATACCTATTCTCTTGTCCTCTCTTTTTTGACTTTTTCGGAAGCGGTCTTACCATGTAGTCCATTGTGACCTCAAAATTGTGATCTTCCTGCCTCACCAATTCTCATTTGTTAAATAGAGCAATGATAATAATTAGACACCTCTCCTAGGACTTCGTTATATATTTTATGATTAGAATAAGTAAATTGCTTAAGACAGAAGGCAGAGCCTGGCATATAATAAGCACTCTATTGTGTTTTTCTGTTGTTGATGATGGGTTTATGATTATTGTATTAGCTTTGTCATCACAGTAGCCAAATATTCAAGAAAACTACTTCATGGAAGAAAGATCTATTTTGGCTCACAATTTTAGAAGGTTTGGTCATGGTTGTTTGGCGTCATACCCTTGAACAGAGCATCAGGGAGTGAGTATATGGCAGAGGAGCTTCCTCACTTCATAGCATAGGAAAAAGAGCAAGGGGCCAGGACAAGATGCACCCACCGACCGACCTGAGTGCTATAGCCAAGCTCTACCTCCTAAAGTTCTGAAATTTCTCAAAATTGTGCTATCCTCTAGGGACCAAGTGTTTAGCACATGAAACTAGGGGAATCTTTTTGCATTCAAATTGTAACAGTGGTATAGGAAGAAAAGGTTGGAGGAATTAATAGGATAGATTGTTTTATAAAACTTAGTTATTAATTCTTTTTTTCTCTCTCTTTAGGTGTGAAATGTTTCTCTTATTCTACAAGTGTGCTCAGCCTTGCATTTTTACCGTATCTTTCACAAAGTAATTTGACATTTGGAAGTCTGCCTTTGCAAATCTTATTTTATGGGATCATGGGAATCTTCGCAGTGATCACTCCCACATTGCTCCACTTCCTTACAAAAGGCTACGTCATTCGGTTGTACCATGAAGCCACAACCGACACTTACAAAGCCATTACTTACAATGCCGTGCTTTCAGAAACAAGCACGGTGTTCCAACAAAATGATGTGAAGATTCCAGAGAGCTCACATATATTTACTACCTTTTATGCTAAAACAAAATCCCTGTTAGTTAATCCAATGCTCTTTCCCAACCCTGAAGACTATAACCATCTAATGGGATATGACAAACCATTCACTTTTGATGATATAGAAGAAGTCAGTGAAAAGAAACTGCATGGGGATGAGAAATGAACATGTTGTTTGCTTTTGTCATCTCTGTTTCAGTGTATAATAAGATTGCCTATATTTTGTTAATGTGAAGACACAGTGCAGTTGGTGTAGTGTTTGCCTTACACGAGGCCCTGGGTTTGACCCTCATCATATAAGTAGGAGTGCTTGTGAACAGCTGTAATCCCAGCACTTGGAAAATGGAGGTAGGAAGATCAGCAATTTGGGGTTTCCTTGGTGATGAAGTAGGTTTGAGGTCAGCCTGGACTGTGTAAGACCCTGTCTTAAAAACAGAAAGTTGATCTGGGTGGGGGTGGTGGTACATGCCTTTCATCCCAGCACTCAGGAGGCAGAGGCAGGAGGATCTTCATGAGTTGGAGGCCAGCCTGATCTACAAAGCGAGTTCCAGGACAGCCAGGGCTGTTTCACAGAGAAACCCTGTCTCAACAAACAAACAAAAAAATTGAAAATATTAAGTAGAATTTCTGACTAATTTTCAGATAATGATGTTCTTGTGTAATAAAATATGTTGTTTCTGTTAAAAATGTGGATAGTCATGTGTATTCTGCTATATGTATAGCTACATTTATTTTTATCTCTTTTTGTTTTTAGACATAGTCTAACTATGTAAGATTGGATGCCTGGAGCTTGCTATGTAGACCAGTCTGGCCTTGAATTCATAGAGGTCTATCTGCCTCTGTCTCTCCTGAGTGCTAAGTGTATGAATATACTTCTACTTAAAAACACTTGCATAAAGTTCATAAATTATAAGAAGCAGTTACTGTGTCTTTTGGTTTAGAATATTGGTTTCTGCCTAAGTCCTCTGGTGTAGTAGCCCATAGTAAGAATGGATATATAGCCAAGTTTGGTTAGTTGTTCTGTACTCCATTTTTCCCTCAACACTCCTCATGATAGTAGGCAAATCATTGGTACTAAATACATTCACACTACCTCCCATAAAATAGCCATCTATGTTAGCTTGATGGAGAGTTTGCATTTTCAGATTTTTATACACCTGCAACCTTAGCATTTAAGAGGTAAATGTTGGAGGCTTGGGAATTTAAGGCTGCCCTTCGCTACATAAGTCCAGCCTGGGTTACATCCAACCTTAAATCTTGTCCAAAACCAAGATTTTTATCTCTTAAGTGTACAATGGAAGTATGATTTTTTTTCTTCTTAAGTCTTGAGACAGGATGTGTGCTGCTGTGTACCCCCAAGGCTTCTCTTAAACTCAGGATCTTCCAGCTTCAACCTCTTGGGAGACATTACTGGTGTATACCACCATGCCCAGGAAAAGATGACTCTTAGAAAAATTTCAGCCAAGAGCAAGTCTTCAAACCATTGGATTTAGATTGGTAGATTTAGATTTAGATGCTTATTAAGCACCTGGGTTCTAGTACTTTGCTGGATACCAGAGTGAAAATTAAAGAGCAAAACACAGGTTGTCTTACAGAGATACCTAGAATCTGTGGCAAGACATCATAGTAAATTTAAGTGACTGTGTAAGTGGGCTTGAGCATTATAGACGCCATTCAGGAGAAAGATCATTCAAATCTAGGGTTGCTAGAAGCTTATGTTAGGGTATAGCTTGAGGCAGGAAACCATTTTCGTAGGACCTAGAACGTGTGTTCTGAACAGCCAGTTCAGCAGATGGAACTTGGACATTCAGCTGTGCGGTCTTGATCTCAGTTCGGACCTCTGGCTCTGCTGCTTACTTGCACAGATACATGCTGATTGTTACCCTAGTGGTGAATGAGATGCTTCCCTAGAAAAAGTTTTCCTGTCATCAACCTGTACTCTGCCGAGATGTTCAGTCCTGGCAGGAGTGAGGGACCCTAGAGAGACAGACACTCGAATCGTTCCCTGCTGCTAGCTGCTAGATTACTGACACAATGGACTCCAAAGAAGTGGACTCTGTCCAGGAGTCTCATGCTGGGGCCCTGGTGCGAGCCAGAGGGGAGCTTTTCTCCCAGGAACAGATTTCGCACAGCTTGCACTCCTGGAGCCAGGAGCCACAGAATGCTCAGTGATGGTCAGGACTGCTTAGTTACACATGCTGTTTGCATTGAAACCATTTCAACCTAACCTGCATGTCATGACCCCAGAAATAGACGTGGGCGTCGCTGGACCTCTTTAATTGCTCCTCTGCAATGTGATGGCAGTGGAGGCAGAGCCATAGCTTTATGCTGCCATCAATAGCAGCCTGAGAATTCTTTTCAGAGACCCACTCAGGTAAAGGCAGATTGTTGATTTCACTACAGAAAAGAATCTCAGATTGAGCCAGTTTGAGGTAGGCTGAGGGTTTGTTAAAAGACATCATGAGGGGTTGGGGATTTAGCTCAGTGGTAGAGCGCTTGCCTAGCAAGCACAAGGCCCTGGGTTTGGTCCTCAGCTCGGGGAGGGGGGCGGGGAGAGACACATCATGAACACATTAAGCACAATGGTTAGAATAGATGCTTAGGGAAAATGAGGCATGGCAGAGTGTGGATGGGCTTTTCAGAGGGGAGTCACACACTTCAGAGTTACAGTAGTCACATACATAATGATTTTGGTAAACCTTAGGTTTGCACGGCAGGATTACAATTAGTAAGTTTATGTAAGAACAACTTCATCACAGGGATGCCAGAAGATAGGTTGTTTTTACTCTAAACAAAGGTTAATAATCTTGAGATCCCCAGAATACCCCGGAGAAGGATGCCTTAAGCTTGTTATGTTGTTATTTTAACATTTAAAAATACTTCTCTCTAGAAGAAATACTGTCTCTGTTGGCAACCATCACAGGAAATGTCAGTGTGATGGAATTCTCAGCTGGCATCAACTGAACTCCAGAAAGAGCAGCTCTTGTGTCTTCCCCAAACCTCACCCTGTCTCCCTCTCACCAGTTCACTAGTGTCTCCTGAATTGGTGGTGTTGAGGACAAGTGGCCAATCGTAGCTTTTTAAGGTTGTGAAGGCTGAGGCTTTGACCCTAAAAACTCCAGGAACATTAGTTCCACCTAGGGAAGAACATTAGTTAACTTTAAGTTCTTTTCTTAATTTAAATTTCATTTTATGTGTATGAGCATTTTGCCTGCAGGAGCCAGAAAGAGGAGTCAGATGACCTTGACCTGGAGTTACAGAACACTGTGAGCTTTGATCTGGGTGCTCAGAACCAAACCCTGGTCCCATGCAAGAGCAGTGAGTGCTCTTAACCACTGAACCACTTCCTCGGTCCCTCCATTTTAAAGTAGTCAGGATAGGGATCTTTATAACTTGTTTTAGTCCTAACGACCTCTCCTGCTGCTTCTGATGTAGTAAGAGACATATGTACAAAGTTTTTTGTTGTTTTGAGACAGGCAGGGCTGCTCACTATAGCTCAGGCTGGCCTTGAACTCAGTATATAACCCAGGCTGGCCTCAAACTTGAGCTGATCCTCCAGTCTCCTCACTGCAAGGATCACAAGCAAGCTCCAGCATGTCCACTTAATGTTTCTTTTACTAAGGAAAAGTGGAGAAAGAACTCCCAAGAGCAGAAGGGTTTCAGGGGAGGAATACCCAGTTTTTACAATTTATATGAATAGTTAACCTTTAACAAAATACAAAAACTTTCAGAAGATACAAACCTAGGAAGCAAGTTCATTAGAGATGCCAGAGTGTGTCACTGCCCTGCTTTAAATGTCCTGCATACACGTGATCATTTTGTCACTTGTGAGAAAGTTTTTATTAGTTTGTAACTGACATTCAGATGACATTTTGTTTGGGGATAGGGAAGCCCAGAGGATAAGACCTCTGAAGGCATAGTACAGAGTGAGACCAGGACATAGAAGGGATCAGCATTTATTTTAGCAGAATTTGACCACATCACTTTGTTGGTTGCAATTTGACAAGTAGTCTCAATGTCCCTGGGTAGCTGGCTGGCCATGGGTAGGCACAGTTTTTTTTAAATCAATTTTAATGACTAATATTAACTCTCAGATCACATATTTACATATGTAGTAATTACACCTGCCCATTTATATATATGTAGGTTATAGGATGTCTACAAAGGAGTTAAGGAGGCTGGCAGAATTCCAAGAACTGTTACGGCTGTAAGACAGAAGATATTAAATTCCACTGGAGAGCTGCTGGAGGTAGCAGAACTCCAGCATAATAAAGTCCAGCCAAGATGCAGAGCTGCAGGGAAGGCTCACACAGGTATAAGGCAGATGGACAGACAGATGGAAATTTGGGCTATGTCAAGTAGAACTGAGTAAAGCATGGGGGGCAGTTGAGTGTTCTCTTAGTGTAGGTCCCCATCTCCCCTCCCCTAGCACACACCAGGTGGTCAGATGTGTGTGTGTGGGGAGCTTGGGGGCAGTGGTGGTGCCATTGATGTGTTAGGACCTCATTATGGTGTCCAAGTGAGGGCACTGCAGCTTTTCTCAGTCTTCTATGTTTTCTGGCTTTGTTTTTCTGATTTATTTATTAACTTATTTATTTGAATTCTGGTCTCGTAGCCCGGGTTAGCCTTGAATTCACTATGCAATTGAGACTAACCTTGAACTCCTGATCCTCCAGCCTCTGCCAGCCTCTGCTTCCCAAGTAGAAAGTTCAGTAGTGCATTGCCATGCCTGGCCTGTATTTGTTTTCTTTTGGTTTTTCGAGGCAGGGTTTCTCTGTGTAGCCTTGGCTGTCCTGGAACTCACTCTGTAGACCAGGCTGGCCTCGAACTCACAGAGATCTGCCTGGCTCTGCTTCCCGAGTGCTGCACATGGGACTTTTTATGTGGGAAAATAAGATGTGGCAAAAGGGAAAACCAAACTAAAACAAAACAAAAAACCCCACCAAAGAGCATATTCAAATATCAAACAAACCTAAGAAAGTTAAGCCGTTCTTGGACTTCTTGAACATGACTATATCTACTTCCCAGACTCACAGTTTGTGGGTCACAGTCTTCATGATCAGCAAATTAAGAAAAATACAATGCATTATTCATATGGATAATCATACCACTGCTGATTTTAACCAATGGCCTGTCAGTTAAAAAAAAAAACAATCATTAATCTGGCTGGGGCTGTGGTGGCGCACACCTTTGATCCCAGCACTGGGAGGTAGAAGCAGGTGGATCTCCATGAGTTCAAGGCCAGCCGGGTCTACAGAGCGAGTTCCAGGACTACCAAGGCTACACAGAGAAACCCTGTCTCGGAAAAAAACAAAACTACTAATAATTGGTACATTGATAATTGGTGCTTTCCAACCCATTTAATATCCTAACAAAATGTATTTTCCTTTGATTCAAACCAAAGTAAATGATCTGTTAAATGTGCTATTAAAATTATTTAGCACAATCCTTTTCCTCTTTCATATGCTATAAGTTCTGGCCAAGAATATTAGAGAAGTGATGCTGCATCCTCTTGGTATTACAATCAGAAGGCAGATCATATCACCTTGAATCGATCCTCACGATGCTCACTTTGATTACATAGTTGAAGTAGTTTCCACCAGGCTTCTCCACTGTCAAGATACTATTTTTCCCCACTAACATCAGCCCTGCTTGATTCTGTGTTTAGTTCTTAACACCTTGGACATAGAGCTTTGGAAAAATTCAATGAAAGTCAAATAATCAAGAAAAGTCAAGAAATATGATAGTAGCTTTGTGCTACATGGAAGAGAGGCCTTCCACAGAGAAGCATCAGACTATTAAAAACATAGTTGAGCTGGGTGGTGGTGGTGCACACCTTTGATCCCAGTACTTGGAAGGCAGAAGCAGAAAGATCTCTGTGTCTGAGTCCATCCAGCCTGGTTTACAGAGTGAGTTCCAGGATAGCTAGGACTGTTACACAGAGAAACTGTGTCGGGGGGAAAAACAACAACCAGAACAAAAAACGTAGTTGAGCTTGGCATGGTGGTGCACACCTTTAGTCTCAGCACTGAGGAGGCAGAGGCAGGCAGATCTTTGAGAGTTTGAGTTCAGCTGGTCTACATAGTTGAGTTCCAGGCCAGGCATGGATATATAGAGAGTTCTTGCCTCAAAAAAAAAGTCCATACTTTTGACTGTAAATATTCAGTTCTAACAATTCTTTGATTTGTTAGCAAATAAAGAAGTCTATTGCTGACTTGTGAGAGACTATGTGGCAGGTATCCCATGGAGGAAATGTGTGTGTGTGTGTGTGTGTGTGTGTGTGTGTGTGTGTGTGTGAGAGAGAGAGAGAGAGAGAGAGAGAGAGAGAGAGAGAGAGAGACAGACAGACAGACAGAGACAGAGAGAGACAGAGAGACAGACAGAGAGAGACAGAGACAGAGAGAGATCAACTCAGGTATCTCTGAAAATGGGTGGGAAGTGGTAATAAATCACAGCTGGGAACCAACATAAATCAGTTATTACTTTAAATATCAAGTTGTGAGAGTCATTTCAGAATGCATTATAAAAAATTAAGTAGGGGCTGGGTTCAATTCCCAACACAGCACAAGGTGGCTCAAACTGTCTGTAACTCCAGTTCTGGGGAGATCTGATGCACTCTTCTGACCTCTTCAGGCACCAGACATGTATATATAATAGTGCATACATACATGCAGGCAAAACACTCATTCATATAAAATAATAAAATACATCTAAAACAATTAAGTTCTCCTGTTAAAAAAAAGACTTAAATGAAATATATTTCAATCATCATCAACCTACCAACTTTAAATTTTTAGGTTTTTAGGAAAGCTGTGTAATTAGCATCACTATTGTAGTATACTACATTTTTCACCTCAAAGACTATTCGAATCATCTCCATTTCCTCCCCATACCCAACCCTAAGGCCTTTCATATAGTCTTTTCTGGGTGAGCCCTCCTCCAATTACCATGTTTTTCAAGATTCATGTGTTGCACCATGTTACTCTTTTGATATGCTGAGTAATATTTTGGACAATACTGTATGGACATATCACTTTTTATTTTATTAAGTCTGTTATCAAGTAAGACATTTGGACTAGTTAATACATTTTGGCTATTACAAAAAGTTTGCTATGAACATTCAAATCCAAGTTTTTACATTTATTTCCATTTTAGTTGAGTATGGGCCATACTATGGTAAATTCTGTTTAATATTCTGAGGAACTGCCAATCTATTTAGTAAAGTGGCTGCACTAATTTAAAAGCCCACAAAGAATGAAACTCCAATTTCTGAACAGTCTCAGCAATACCAAATGTATACCACCTTATTAGCCTAGTATGTGTGATGTACTCTTATCTTACCATGGTTCTGATTCACATTACTTTAACTAATGATACTGAGTATCTTTTAAAGTTCTTATTAGCTATCTATAGCTTATCTGAAAAATTTTCAACCTGTTCCATATCCAGCTCTGAGTAGGTAATGCAGCATCATGCATTCACACAGCACTTGAGCCCTCAGTGAGACTGGAATCACAGAAGGGCTCATTTTGCCTTCTGTTTGCTGTACCGTTTCCCTTGGTGACAGAAGTTAAAGGGAGCTACACCATCCTTTTTAGTTATTCTTGACCCATCTCCACTTTTTGTAGACAATTCACTTGGCATGGAATGTTCTGGCTTCTTCAGGTATAACCAACTGTAGAACTCTGTCCATATGGCTTCTTCTCTTTTCCTTATGGGCAGAATGCCTGACACTCGATAGGACTCAGAGGCAGGAAAGCAGCTGCTTCTCCAAGAATGATATCCCTGCCTTAGCAATAGGTGTTGGGGTGAAAATAGGGTTGCTAATTTCCCCTGGTATGGAGCATTGGAGTCAGCTGTGGTGGGGGTAACTAGGGCCCTAATTTGGGCCTATAATGCTTAGAGTTACGTTTCACCTTATATAGGTACTAAGTGGGCAGGGTAATGAAGACAGAGTCCTTTTAGCCACATCTACCTATAAGAGGCTTCTGTAACAAAAGACTAAGGATAAAAAGGTCAGCCGCTTGCTGTGTGAGAAGCCAAGTGCAGCCCTAGACTAGGAGCCATGGGAAGCGGGGAACTACTCCTTAGTCAAACCAGTCCAGAACTGTTTCCACATGGTGAAGCTGACTGGAGACAAAGGAGCAAGCTGTGGCTCAAATGCCATTTCGGAGATTTGGATCTTATTTGTTACAACTCCTTAACAACAATTTCTAGGCACTTTAACTTTTTATTATTATTATTATTTTTGGTTTCTGTGTAGTTTTGGTGCCTGTCCTGGATCTTGCTCTGTAGACCAGGCTGGCCTCGAACTCACAGAGATCTGCCTGGCTCTGCCTCCCGAGTGCTGCCATCACCATTAAAGGTGTGCGCCATCACCACCGCCCGGCTTAATTTTTGTATTTTTATCCAGGTTGTTTTGTTAAAGTCCACTAAGTTTTATTTTTATAACTCCAGAAGTTAAATCTTTCAATTCCTTACTTTCTTTCCACCCAATATTTGGTATTTTCCTTTATGAGTGATATCCATATTTTATTTATTCAGTGGGTACAGTTATTTTCATTATTTTGATTCTGTTTTGGCCAATAAAAGCCAAATCCTTCATCCTTTTCACATAAACACAATTCTTTGGTCACTTTCATACTTTTCCCAGTAAGATGTCCTTGCTCCAGGCCTGAAAACAGCTCCATTTCTCCAGGTAGGTAGAAAACATTGACAAAATAGTTAATTCTACCTCTAATTTTTTAATTTCCTTTAAAGCCAGGAAGAAACCACATAGACTTAGTACCTCATGGCTAATAAGCAAGGAAAAACGATGGTAAATTATGTAAATCACATTTCCATTAAGTGTTTAGGTCAGCACATTAACTATCCTACCATTCAGGAAACCAATTAAGACTTCCAATTAAATTACCAATTAAAGCTTCAGTGATAACTGAAAGGTGGTTTACACTTTGCTGTATGCACAGAAAAACTTCAAGAAGACTGGTAAGCATTATGAAAATAATTTGTTATAACACAAACAAATCCCTCTCACCGTCTCTTTAGGTTTCTGCTCCTTACATCACAAACAAGGCTATACTTTGCCTTGCTTGTGACTCTTGTATGTCTCTTTTTTCTGCAGTTCGAGTGACCCTAAATCTAGCCCACAAAAAACGTTGTTAATGTGGACAAATGACAAATACAACATTGAAATGATTCTAGAAGAAATTTGCAAATTTCTGAGACCTATCATTTGGGTGTCCTCGGATACCCAGCTTTCCACTCAGGGAAACATTACTGGGAAGTGGATGTGTCTAGAAATGATGCCTGGCTCCTGGGGTTAAATGATGGAGAATGTGCTCAACCCCAGCTTCGTGCAGTGAATGAGAAGGGCATCAGAGTCACATATAATCCTGATGCTAAACAACATTTATATTGTCAGCCTACATTTCTCCATAGCCCTTTTAGTTATAAACTACACGATTATCAGCCTACATATGCAGTTAAAGATAATTCTGATGTGAAACAGCATGTAAATTATCAGCCTAAATATGGCTACTGGGTTATAGGGATGAAGAGTGGGTCTGTATATAATGCCTTTGAAGAGTGTTCTGTCACCCACAATGCCAGTGTCTTGGTCCTCTCTCTGACTGGTCGTCCCAGTTGGGTTGGGGTTTTCCTGGACAGAGAAGCTTGTACTCTCTCATTTTTTGATGTTTCCAACCATGGAGTTCTCATCTATAGATTCTGTGAATCTTCCATCCCTGATGCAGTTTATCCATACTTTAATCCTATGTCATGTTCAGAGCCAATGACAGTATGTGGGCCACCCTCCTAAACCCTCACCCATAACTGCACAGTGCCCCATGTCTGATGTATTTCATATGCCTGAGCTCCCTGGCATCATCATAACTGTTTCTGCCTTTGCTCTTTTCCTTTTAATAAACTTCAGTTTTCAATACAAAAAAAAAAAAAAAAAAAGAATGCTAACATAGAAGGTGGAGCTGGGCAAAGTGGTACACACCTTTAGTACCAGCACTCGGGAGGCAGACAGAGGAAAGTGGATTTCAGGACAGCTAGAGCTACACAGTAAGACCCTGTTGGGTGGGAGTAGAGGGGATTGATAGACACCCAAAAGCAGAAGGTAGAGTCTGCTGACCATTTGACTAAGGATATGTGTAGATGTAACCAACCTTCTTATTAAATAAGAAACACAGAACCAATGCAAAGAAGAAAGCCAAGAGGTCAGAGCTAAGAGCTAAAACCTTACCCTTCCTCCTGCAGTGGTCCTACCTCTCCGAACCAGAGCTACCCCTGTGTTAAAGTCTTTATATAGAGTTCCTGTTATGCCTTCTCATTGGTTGTAAACCCAACCATATGACCGCCTCGTCACGGCCTGTCTGTATAGGCCTCCAGGTTTTCCATGATTGGTATTGATTAAAGGCATGTGTATCCAATAATGGCTGTATCCCTGAACACACAGAGACTTACCCAGCTCTGCCTACCAAGTGCTGGGATTACAAGCATACACCACCACTGCCCTGCTTTCCTATGGCTTGCTAATAGCTCTGACCCCCGGGCAACTTTATTTATTAACATACAAATAACATTTTAATACAAATAAAATATCACCATAGATATGCCCAACTACCCTCCAAGCTGAAAATGCTTGTGGTGATGAAACATGAACAGAACATATACTTGCTGTGGAACAATCTTTTTGTACACTTTAAATATTCGTTGCTCTCACTGGTCTAATAAAGGGCTGAATCGCCAACAGTTAAGCAGGCAGATAGAGGTTAGGCAGGGCCTGAGGACAAAAAGGGTGCTGGGAAGAAGGAAGGCGGGGTTGCCAGGAGAGCCATGCTGAAAAAAGGTACTGCCACATGGTAGAGCATAGATAAGAAATATGGGTTAATTTAAGTTGTGAGAGCCAGTTAACCACAAGCCTAAGCTATTGGCCAAGCATTTATAATTAATAATAAGTCTCTGTGTGGTTATTTGGGAATGGGTTGACAGGACAGAAAACCCTGCCTACATATACTCAATGCTGATGCAATGGTTACCTGTAATTCAGAGTATCAGTAAACTGTGGAAGTCTGACATTAGCCTGCTGAACATCTTATCTATAATGAGATTCACACAAAACCCTGACTATGCACAAGCAAGTTCTATAATTTACTACACAATTGCAAATTCAGAAATATTGGCAGATAGTATCACAGAAGTAACTTAATGTGAGTTCAGTAGGATTTTAGTAGCTTTAAAAATTACTTCTTGCCCATATTGAAATATCTACAGGCTAGTGTTCACTAGAATAGTGCTGTGAGTTAGAAGAAGAAATGGTACGAGGACTGATTAGGACAAAGAGAAGGTGTGTGATGTCAATGAATTTAGAAGGGAGAAAAAAAATCCAGAGCTTACTATGTGCCTCAGATATTGTTTTAGCATAAATAACTCATTCAAGGTCATAACAGATACTATGTTTGGGTCATTATTTCAGAATCAGATAATATGTATGCAGACTGACACATATTTACATACAGAAATAGGCAATATTAGAAAAAAACACTTGAAGAATGCAAGCATTCTTGTGACCATGAAACTAAGATGAGGCAATAATTCATGTAGAATTTGACTCAAATGGAGTAGAAACTAAACTACACACGTACCACCTCCTAAGTACCCCAAAGCAGAGTCCCTAACCTATGACAATTAAATGCAAGTACATAAAAATCAGCAGTAAAGCACACATAACCTGCATGACTCTTACTTGGGGCAAAGACTGCACTGATAATTACAATGACTCTGTATCACCAAGAGATCATAGAAAAATATAGTGCTATGACCTTCTTATTTCCCTCACTGATTATGGTTTTCGTTGGTATAGAACATTTATACCATATGATTGTATACCTATATGGTCTTCAGTGTGGTGATGAGAAGGAACTTAAGACTAAAATGATCAAAGAACACCATTTGGTTCTCAGCTGCCTGATACTTTAACTATTTTTCTGGCACCTCATCAAGGAGGAATTTCCTGGCCTAAAAGGGAGACATTTAAGAGCAGAGTCAACAAAATCAGTAGGGCTATCTTAAGAGTTGATCTTTCATCATGTTTATATGAATTTTTAGTGTTAAACAAGTTTGGTGATTTATAAACACCATGAATTTGATTCAATGCTAAGTCCATTCAACTGACATAGTGTTATAAATAGTCTCATTTTTAATATACACCATCGCAGATCCCAAGAAATATCAAATGAATGGTATATATAGGAACCATGTCTAACTCAGCCTGTAATGCTGATAGTATGTAACGTTCTTTATGGCTGTGGGAACATATCAGAACCTATGAGATGGTTTTTCTTTTGGGAGTGCTGAACTATAAATTTGGCATAAGACAAAGGAGAATGTGTACTAAAAAGCACACCAGTGAAGAGGTTCTGACATGGCTGTTTAGAAGGCAAAATGTTGACATAAGGCTCCACACATGGATGGCACTTAAAAAGGCTTACAGAAAACATGTTTTCTTAAAAGGTTAAGGTGATGTAGTAATAAAACAAATCAGGCACATATCTCAAAAGGTCCAAAGAAGAAATTCTTTTTTGTTTGTTTTTTTTTGGTTTTTCGAGACAGGGTTTCTCTGTGTAGCTTTGCGCCTTTCCTGGAACTCACTTGGTAGCCCAGGCTGGCCTCGAACTCACAGAGATCCGCCTGGCTCTGCCTCCCGAGTGCTGGGATTAAAGGCGTGTGCCACCACCGCCCGGCCCAAAGAAGAAATTCTTAGTAGTGACTGGCAGAACTACAAATAGGGAAGAAAAAGAAATTATATTTAATTGGGGAAGGCAAATACTGAGCAAAAAGTTTTGAATGCTAGACTGCTGTTTAAGTTATGTAAGATCTGGGAGTACACGTGGATCTTAAGTAATGAAATAACAATTCATAAAACCAATTGTCTTGAGGTTTTTTTAATAAACAAAATTGTCCGTCCTAAGGTAATCAATAGAAACCAGCAATCACTGTCACTTCCCATTATTCAGTTATCTTACAACACATACCTCTGGCATACAGTCTCATGCTTTCCATGTAAGTTGCAAGGTTTTCTGCTACCAAAGTAACTAGGGCATGATTGTGCTGAAGTTGACTGATTAAGTCATGATGATAAAATACATGGGGACTTCACTGAGTTTGACTGAAACGAGAAGAGCTTAACAATATAATTAGGCAATCAAACTCTGTTGCAATCACGAGTTTATTACAACTAAATTCTTAGCTACTAATTAAAAAAAACCTCAAAAGCCAGTTTTGCTCATTTACTTCCTTTAATGACAATATTAAGCAATTTAAAAAAATTAATGTGTCAAAAATAAATACTATATTACTTGAAAATCAGGTATCAGTTTCTATTTACTTCATAAGGGGTCTACTCTAATGACTATGTCTACTCTCATAATATGGCAGTAGATAGGCATTTGTGTTAGGACACAGGGTTATTTGAAAAATACAAAAATCTAAACTTTGTATAACTAGCATTGTAACTGCTAGTTAATGTTTTTATAAATTTTTGTTAGAGGCAAGAGAGATGGCTTAGCAGGAAAAGGCACTAGACACCAGCTTGAAAACCTGAGTCTGATTCTCATTATTCTCACCGTGGAAGCTGAGAACTAACCCCTACAGGTTGTCCTCCAACTGCCACACAAACAATGTAGCATGAGTCCCTACCCCCAGCCCCCAAAATAAAAATGTAAAAATATTTTTTAAAAATTATTCGCTATTTAAGTTATACACTGGGCACATCTGGTTTGTAGCTAAGATGTTCTTGTCACCGGAAAGATAGTTCCTTTCCAATTTGTTTTGGCATTCTCTGAAACTAGTCAACTTTCATAGCTACCACTATATTCTATTATACAGAAGGTCACTAACTTCTAGGAAAGTAGCTGAATACTATGTCTACCTGGAAAGCAATAGATTTGAGAAAGGTCAAGTGGCATATGTATACTGGGCCAAACACACTCAAAATAGACTACTTTGACAAACATTACTCCCCTACCAATCTATTACACATGAGAGAACGTGATTATTTAGAATGTGCTCCCAAGATTAAATGACTGTATTGTTCGCATTTGAGTTATGAATATCAGTTCTACTACACTCAGCTCTTTATTTTATGCCAACCACACTAACTCTATTCCCAGAAAATAAGAGGACAATTCATTTCAGTAAGTAGATTTTGGAACCTAAGATAGTGCATTTATTTCACTAATTTACTTTTAAAAATACTTATTTTCATTACACGTGTATGAGTGTTTGCTATATTTGTGTCTGTGCAGTGCCTACTGAGGCAGGAAGTAGGCACGGAATCCCCTAAAACTGGAGTTACAGATGGTCGTGAGCTGAAGCTGAGTTCTTGAAAGAGTATCCAGTACTCTTAACCACTGAACCATCTCTCCAGTCCCTAGTTTTGTTTGTTTATATATTTGAAATAAGGTTTCACTGTTTCATCCTGGCTGGCCTGGAACTCACTGTGGAAACCAGCCTGGCCTTGACCCACAGAAAACCATCTACCTCTGTTTCCTCAGTGGTTGGGCACCACCATGCCTGGCCTAAGATAGTATACTTAAGGGGTGATAGTAAAAAGTTCAGTGCTCTATCATGCCATCTACTATCTTTTAAATTCCCATGTAATTCAATCTTTTAAATTAACTTTAAAAATTTAATACTAAAAAAATTACTTTTGAAAACTATCATGTGACAGCCTGAAACAGCAGTATCATCTTGATTCTGATACTGATCATTTCCTCATCAATGAAACAAAGGAAGTAGGAATGATATTCTTTTGTTCCAAACGGTATGAACCAAATTGAACCGTTCTAAACCGGTCTAAACCGGACTGAACCTGTCTGAACAGGCCTGAACCAGATTGAACTGGTCTAAACCAGTCTAAACCGGATTGAACTGGTCTAAACCACCTGCTCCTGCCTCTGTCTCCCGAGTGCTGGAATTAAAGGCTTTAATTTAATATACCCACATGCTATCTGTTCCTAATTTATTTTGATACGTCTATGGGTGATACCTTTTTACTCTGTGATAAGTTGTTCCTCAGTCTGTGCCTCCTGATTAATGTTGGACAGGTGGTACAAACATACATTCTGTCGCCATTAATGCACTAAAGATGGAGGCAAATTGTTTTAGTTAGGTTTCTATTTTTGGGAAAAGACACCATGACCACAGAAACTCTCTTAAGGAAAACATTTAATTGAGGGGGGTTGCTTACAGTTTCAGAGGTTCAGTCCGTTATCATCATGACAGGGAGCATGGTGGCGTGAAGGCAGACATGGCACTTTAATAGCTGAGAGTCCTACATCTTGCAGGCAACAGAAAGTCAAATGAGACACTGGGCATATCCTGAGCATAGGAAACCTCAAAGCCCACCCCCACAGTGGCACACTTCCTCCAACAAAGCCATGCCCACTCTAACAAAACCACACCTCCTAATAGTGGCACCCCCTATGAGATTATGGGGGCAGTTACATTCAAACTACCACACAAATGCTGCTTTGTAAAATGGAGTCACGAAGGGCAAGGGATATCCTGAAAGCTACTGTTTTGTATAATATGGAGTAACTAGTGCAGGGTATAGCCTGATCTCCATAGAAGCCCCATTGAAATGAGGCAGGAGAAATGACTCACAAAATCAGGTGTATGTGTCATCCCAGAACTTGGGTGGCAAGAGGATGGCCTTGGAGTTCAAGGCCTACTTGGGCTACATAGCAAAGTTCAATTTCAAAAAACAAAACAAATGACTAGGGCCAAGGTGAAGAGCAATACTCCACCTCCTTCACTCCTCTCTGTCATCCCAGGGCAGGTTATCTCCGAAGGAAAGGAGGCAAACCTGTAAACAGATTCATAATAAACACATCCTTAGCCGGGCGGTGGTGGCGCATGCCTTTAATTCCAGCACTCGGGAGGCAGAGCCAGGCAGATCTTTGTGAGTTCGAGGCCAGCCTGGTCTACAGGGTGAGATCTAGGACAGGCACCAAAACTACACAGAGAAACCCTGTCTTGAAAAACCAAAACCAAACCAAAACAAAAAACACATCCTTAAAAGTATCTGTGTATGTGGGTCAACACTGGGTGTCTTGTTAAATAGCTCCAACTTATTTATTTACTTATTGAAAGGCAAGAAAGCAAAGTTTATTGGGAAACAGAGCAGCAGCTTTCTGCATCAGGGAAGGGTCTAGAAAGTGTGTTAGACTAGTGGTTCTCAACCTTTCTTCTGCTGTGACCCTTTAAGTTCCTCATGTTGTGGTGACCCCCAACCATAAAATTATATTTATTGCTATGTCATAACTGTAACACTACTGTTATGAACTGTAATGTAAACACCTGATATGCAGGATATTTGATTTGTGACCCCTATGAATGGGTCCTTTGGCCCCCAGGTTGAGAACCACTGTGTTAGAGATAAGATCTCACTAGGAAGTCTTAGCTGTCCTGGAAATCACAGATGCATCTGCCTCTGCCTCTCTAGTCCTGGGACTAAAGGCATGCACACCAGCCACTCTCCATCCTGCTTTAAAGCAGGAGTCTCTCACGGAACCTGGAGCTAGAATGCTGCCCCAGGGATCCTTCATCTTTGCCTTCCCTGTGGCTGTAATTCCAATTGCATGCTACATCCAGCTTTTTCACTTTCGTACTGGGAATTGAACTCTGTTCCTCACGCTAGAGGGGCAAGCACTTGACTGACTGGGTAACCCCTTCATTTGATGAAGGGTTCATTGTATCGAAAGGACTCAATTTTCAGAAGCAAAAGTGACAAGATGGGGGCCGATGAGATGGCTTAAGAGTTAAAAGCATTCGCTGCTCTTCCAGAGAACCCAAGTTCGGTTCCCAGCACCCACAGAGCAGCCGTAATTGTTTCTAACTCTAGTTCCAGGGGATCTAGCACCCTCTTCTGGCCTCCATGGACACCAGACACTAACATGTGCAAGGAACACCGTACACAGCAAAACACTCAATTGTATAAAATAATAAATAAAAGGTAACAAAATGGCACTTAAGTATACTGACAGTCTTATCTTGAATAAATTGGCTAAAATGTATTCATAATCATTTGTTTGTTTGTTTTCTTTTTTTGAGACAGGGTTTTTCCGTGTAGTTTCGGTGCCTGTCCTGGGTCTCACTCTGTAGACCAGGTTGGCCTAGAACTCAGAGATCTGCCTGGCTCTGCCTCCCGAGTGCTGGGATTAAAGGTGTGTGCCATTGCCGCCTGGTTTGTTTCATTTTTTTGAGACCCTGGCTGGCTTGAACTCACTCTGTAGACCAGGCTAGCCCGGAACTCACAGAGATCCACCTGCCTCTGCTTTCGGAGCGCTAGGATTTGAGGTGTGAGCCATCACTCCTGGCTTTAGTCACATTCTTTCAGAAAGCCTTATGCTTTTGTTGTTACTGCTTGCCTGCCTGCCTGCCTGCTATCCTTCCTTCCCTCCTTCCTTCCTTCCTTCCTTCCTTCTTTCCTCCCTCCCTCCCTCCCTCTCTCCCTTCCTTCCTTCCTTTTTTTCAAGACAGTTTCTCTGTATAGCTTTGGAGCCTGTCCTGAATCCCGCTTTGTAGACCAGATCCACCTGCCTCTGCCTCCCGAATGCCGGGATTAAAAGTGTGCGCCTCCACTACCCAGCACTGCTTTTCTTTGTATTGAGGGTTCACACCCATAAAAGTAGAAGGGTACAATGAACCTGCAGGCTCTGCCATCCAGATTTGTAATAATATCCTGGCTGTTCTGGAACTCACTATGTAGACCAGGGGCTGGAATTTGCCTCTGCCCCATACCTGGCTCAAGTGATAATATTTTTAGACAGAATCTCACCATGTAGCTCTGACTAGCCTGGAACTCACATTGATCTGTCTGCCTCTGCCTCATTAGTGCTTGGATTATGGCATGTGACACTCTTAGCTCTCTAGTGACAAATTTGTAGCTGATATTGTTTCTTCTAGACCCAGGCCACTTACTCTACTATGTTATTTTATTTTTTTACTATGTTATTTTAAAGCAAATCCCAGTCAGAGTATTTCCTTCTTAAAATTTTAATTTTTTTTAATTACAATTTTTTTTTGTGGGGCTGGAGAGATGGCTCAGGGGTTAAGAGCACTGGCTGCTCTTCCAGAGGTCCTGAGTTCAATTCCCAGCAACTACATCATGGCTCACAACCATCTATAATGAGATCTGGTGCCCTCTTCTGTCATGCAGGCATACATGCAGACAGAACACTGTATACATAATAAATAAATAAATCTTTAAAAAAATTTTTTTTGTGTGCCGGGCGGTGGTGGCACACGCCTTTAATCCCAGCACTCGGGAGGCAGAGCCAGGCAGATCTCTGTGAGTTTGAGGCCAGCCTGGTCTACAGAGCGAGCTCCAGGAAAGGCGCAAAGCTACACAGAGAAACCCTGTCTTGAAAAAAAATTTTTTTAAATTCATTTTACATACCAACCACAGATCCCCTCTCATCCCTCCTCCCACTCCCCCCAGCCCCCTCCCCCCCAATCTCCTCTTCCAAAAGGGTAAAGCCTCCCATGGGGAGTCAGCAAAGCTTGGTACATTCAGTCTTGAGACAGGGCCCAGCCTTTCCCCCCTGCATCAATGGTGAGCAACAGTTGGTAATGGGCTACGGAAAGCCAGCTCATGCACCAGGGGTAGATCCTGGTCCCACTGTGAGGGGCCCCTCAAGCAGACCAAGCTACACAACTGTCTCCCGTATGCAGATGGCCTCATTAGATGGCCATGCATATTCCACAGGTGTTGGTCTAAAGTTCATGAGTTCCTACCAGCTTGGTTCAGTTGTCTCTGTAGATTTCCCCATCATGATCTTGACCCCCCTTGTGCCTGTATGGACAGTTGTGAGCTGCCATGTGGATGCTGGGAATTGAACCCGGGTCCGCTGGAGGAGCAGTCAGCGCTCTTAACCGCTGAGCCATCTCTCTTTTCTATTGCTCTGCTTTCAATAAAGTTTCCTTGCTACTTTTACAGATCTGTGTGGGCTGTTCAGTGTTACCACCAGAACAAGATTGTAGGCCACAATTCCAAGCCATTTTGGTTGCTAATCCTAAACTGGTATTCTCTGAAGTAGCAACACAGCTGAAGGAAGAGGCATTTTTTCTAAAACTGAATTTTGACATGATATGCATCCCAGAACAAAGCAATCCCATTTTATTATTGGGATTCAAACTTTTACCTCAAAGTGTTACTCAGTGGGGGAGCACTTATTGGCAGGCAAGCACCAATCCGAATCCAACCCACCCCAGCTTAACACCACTGCCTCAAACTCAACTTCCTTTTGAGTGTATTCTCAAGACTGATGAGGTCCCAGCTGGGAACTGCAGCTGACATCCCTGTGGGGGGGTATCATCTAGCCTGTCTATTTTGTGGTTGAACCTGCTTGTTTTTGGGTAGAAATCTTTTTCAAGAGACCAATCAGCTCAGATAGCTAGATGCAGCTTTCTAGGTCTGGAGAAACCACTGTATGAGCCTGCAGGAGAGAATAGCGTGTACACAGAAAAGTAGTGAGAACCACGGACCTTCTTTCTTGAGATTGGGTCTCACCATGTAGTTCTGGCTGCCCTGGAACTCACTCTGTAGACCAGGTTGGCCTGGAACTCACAGAGATCCACCTGCCTCTGCCTCCCAAGTGCTGGGTTTAAAGTCATGCACCAATACACCCAGCAGACTTTCTTTTTAAGACAGGGTTTCCTGTAAGGCTTTGGTCTCACTGAAAACTTGCTGTGTTTTAAGTGCTAATTACTCTAATTTACACTAAGTGTTCAGAAACAGTGTATTCTAGGTCATTTTTTTCTCTCTTGCCTTGCAGCAGGAAGTGCTCAGATATTGAAAACACACACACCGTCACACGTGCGAATAAAATGAGGAAACAGTTTGATGGGAACTTGGAAATCACATGACTGGTGACTAAGTTCAATCTTTCCTCCTTACTGTCTAGTCCGAAGATCTTCCTCGAGTGAAGTGTTGGCAATATTAAATCATGCTGCCATTTATCCTCTTTTCTACGCTGCTTTCTCCCATAGTTACTGAATCTGAGCAACAGTGGATCTGCAACTCCTCCGACGCAACTCTTTCCTACAGTTACTGTGGTAAGTGACGATGCAACACCACCTTAGCTGCCCACTACTGAACCCGAAGCTGGAGGGCGGGGGAGAATGCCTCTGCGGCTCGGCTGTGGGGGCTGCTGAGGTCTGGGGTGGGGGTGGGGGTGGGGCGGTGGGGGTGGAGCCATGCCGATCACTTCCGGATGTGGAGCTAACCCCCCTCCGCCCTTACAGATCTCTGAACTGTTTGTTTTTACCTCCTTGTGTTCCTGTTGCTGCTGTGCTCAGCCCCCTCGACTCCAAGCCCCGTTTCAAGCTCTCAGTTCCAGCAGAACTGTTTGCTTCTGAGTCCCGGCCCCGGCACAAACTGGTTCCTTCTGAGCAGGTGGCTGCTTCCTGATCGGGTTTTCTGCTCCAGCCGGTGGTCCTAGAGGGCTCCTGGGAGCATCTCTGTTCTTGGGGTGTTAGCCTGCTCTCTCTCATCCATTGTATGACCTTGAGCAAAGTACTTAGACATTCTCGGCCTCATTTTTTTTTTTTTTTTTTTTAGTTGCAAAATGAAAGTGAATTTAGAGTTCACTTCATGAGGCTTGCTAGAGTGAAGAATTTTACCGCAGAGACACTTAGAAAAAGTAATGTTGATTTTGGATTTAGGTAGCAATTATTACTCTATTATTTGTTTTGAGACAGGATCTCACTATGTAGCCATGGTTGGCTTGGAACCAGGCTGGCTTAGAAATCACGGAGATCTGCCTGCCTGTACTTACTGGGATTAAATGCATTCATCACCACACCCTGCATATTTTATTATTTTTTAGACAGGGTATCAGTATATAGCCCTGGGGTGGCCTGGAACTTGCTATATAGACCAGACTGGCCTGGAACTTGAAGAGATTTCCCCCTTCCTCTGCCTCTTGAGTTATTTGCTTATTTTTGCCTGGAACTCACTATATACACTGTGCTGGCCTCAAACTCAAGCTCCCTGTAGCCTCAGGCTCTTCAGAGCTGGACCTGCAAATACTTTTCGGTTGAGCTAAACTCCGCTGCTAATGGTTCATAACCAATGCTATTGTCACTGCTCAGCTGCACATGAGCAGATGCCTGGATCTGAAGACCTAGCACAGAGGACTTGAGAGCTGTTCCAGTTCGTTTTCTCTTTCCTTGATCACTGGGTTGGTTGTCCATTTTTTGCCCTGTCCTGAAATATCTGGATGGTTGCAGTGATGCCTTCCAAAGTGCCAGTTCCTTGAAAAGCAGGATCTGCCGCCTAGTTGTCCGGAAGTGGAGCAGGGACCCTACAGATGCACTCTGAGAACCCCTGCAGTACTGAGGGCTTCCGTGGTAAAGAAGCCTGCCTAGTAACAGCATTTCCAGCTTGATTATTTTGGGGGACTGACTTGTGAAGCCCTCTGACAAAGGCTAGTGTCTAATCTCTTCTGGGGTATTAGGAAGGTCCCCAGTCTGCCAATCTCTGTTTTCCTTTCCTTTTTGGCCCCCTACTTTGTCAATTTACGTGTGTGTGTGTGTGTGTGTGTGTGTGTGTGTGTGTGTGTGTGTGTACCCAGAAGTCGGAAGAAGACATCAGACTCCCTGCAACTGGAGTTACAGGCTACTTTGAGCTGACTGATGTGGGTGTTGGGAATTGAACCTGGGTCCTCTGCCAGTGCTCTTAACCACTGAGGCACCTGTGCAGTCCCTAATCTCCCTCTTTTGGTACTACACAGTGACTCTTCATATGCCTATTAGTAATGTATAATAAATATTATTCAACTTTACTCTTTTAGTTACAATTTAGCTCCCCTTTTCTTTGGTTGCTTGGTTGTTTTTTTTTGACATAGAGTCTCTCTATGTAGCACAAGCTGTTCTGGAACTTGGTATGTAGACTAGGCTGGTCTCAAACTCAGAGACCTGCCTGATTCTGCCTCCTAGGACTAAAGGCGTGGGCTACCGCACCTGGCTTCTTTTGCTTTTGACGAGACTTTCTGAGGTGCAACCTTAACCCCTTTCTTCTGTAACACCAACAAATCCGGTGGGCTTTCCCTGGAGCACCCTGATCCAAGGCTGGGAGAGAGCAACAAGGGTCTCTACCCTGTGACCCCGCAGGTTACCACTCCTCTGTCTGGGAGAGTCCACTAAGACAAAACAACTCCCTTTGAGAAGCATTAATTCCTCTAGAATCGGTAGGCAAGTATTAGTAACAGGGCCATCTGATTCAGTCTTGACTGTGAGGACAATTTCCAAGAAAGAGGAGATACATTTTAATCTGGGCAGGCTTACTTATTTTGGCTTGCCTGAACAAATCACGATAGAGCCAGGTGTGGTGGTACATGCCTTTAATCACAGCACACTGAGGCAGAGGCAGGCAGATCTCTTCGAGTTCGAGTCCAGCCTGGTCTACAGAATGAGCTCCAGGACAGCCAGGGCTACACAGAGAAACCCTGTCTGGAAAAACCAAAAACCAAAACCAAAAAAACAAAACAAAAAAACAACCAGCTAATAAAACAAACAGACACCCAAATCACTATAGTTTGGGAGGCTTAAACAAGAAACATTTATTTTTGAACTGATCTGGAATTCAATATCAAGATTTTGGCACATTTGGATTCTCCTTGGCTTGCTGATGGGGTGCTGTGGTTTTTGAAAGTGTAAGCTCTGCCAAACACATGTCAAATCTATTTGTCCTTGTAATAGCAGTAAGAAGTGGAGCCTAGCCGGGTGGCAGTGGCGCACGCCTTTAATCCCAGCACTCGGCGGGAGGCAGAGCCAGGCGAATCTGTGTGAATTTGAGGCCAGCCTGGTCTACAGAGCGAGATACAGGACAGGCACCAAAACTACACAGAGAAACCCTGTCTCGAACTGCCCCCCCCACAAAAAAAAGAAGTGGGTCGTGCGGTGGTGGCGCACGCCTTTAATCCCAGCACTCGGGAGGCAGAGCCAGGCGGATCTCTGTGAGTTCGAGGCCAGCCTGGGCTACCAAGTGAATTCCAGGAAAGGCGTAAAGCTACACAGGGAAACCCTGTCTCGGGGGAAAAAAAGAAGGAGGAGGAGGAGGAGGAGGAGGAGGAGGAGGAGGAGGAGAAGAAAGAAGAAGAAGAAGAAGAAGAAGAAGAAGAAGAAGAAGAAGAAGAAGAAGAAGAAGAAGAAGAAGAAGAAGTGGAACCTTACGTTTTTTGTTTTTTGAAGCAGGGTTTCACTGTAACCCAAGATGACCTAGAACTCACTCGGTAGTGCTGGCTAGCCCAGACTAGCCTTAAAATTCATGGATATTCTCCTAGCTCAGGCTCTGGAGTGCTAAGATTAAAGTGTATGCCATCACATCTGGCTTACACAGTAACCTTTTAAGGTCTACGAAAAATCCTACTTGGATTGGGCATGGTGTCTCATGCTTCTAATTCTAGCATTCATGAGGTCAAGGCAGGAAGATTGTTGCAGTTTTGAGGCCAGCCTGGTGTGGTGATATATTGTGTACCCTAATAAATTTGCTTGGGGATTGGAGGACAGGGCCAGCCGCTAGATTAGACATAGAGGTCAGGCAGTGGTGGCACACACCCTTAATCCTATCACTTGGGAGGCAGAGATTGTCTGGATCTCTGTGAGTTCAAAACCACTCTGGGAACAGAGCCAGGCATGGTGGCACACACCTTTAATCCCAGCACTTGAGATCTCATGTCTTTGCTTGGGAAGGACACATGCCTTAATCCCAGGAAGTAATATGGCAGGAGACAGAATGGTATATAAGGTGAGGAAACAGGAACTCACACTCTTGAGACTGAAGATTTTGTAGAGGTAAGAACATGGCTGGCTTGCTCTCTGATCTTTTAGCTTTCACCCCAATACCTGGCTCCAAGTTTTTTTTTTTTTTTAAATTAATAAGACCTTTTAAGATTCATGTTACAATCTGGTCTACATAGTGAGTCCTAGGCTAGCCTGGGCTAGAGAGTAAGATCCTGTCTCACAGAACAAAAATGAATATATAAAATAGTTTGTCCTAAAGAGTCTGCCTGAGTAACTTGAATTTACTGACTTATTTTTCATAGATTTATTTGTTTAGTGGTGCTGGGCCTGAACTACATGGCTAGGCGTGCATTTTTATTTTGAACTTACATTCTTCACCCAACCTGAATTTATTTGGGACAACATCCACCCATTCTAGCAACATCTGTTCTACCCCAGGTAGATAGATTGTGCTTTTACACCCAGTCCATTGTGCACCACGAGGAAGAGGAGAGACAGCACTTATGGGTTCCAAAGATTTTAATAAATCACTACGTAAGCAGGTCACTGATGGATCAGGGCTGCAGGACAAGGACTCGGGAGTTTTGTTTCTCCTGGCAGCCCTGAGCAGGGGCAGAAGTGGGGTTCATAAGCATAAAATCCACAAACATTTGTTGCCAAGTTACAGTTACATTTTTCACCAATCAGAAGTCAAAGATTAGGGACTTTCCTTGTGTGTTCCATCATTGTGAACCGACACAAAAATGGGAGCTTTTCAGTCCAACCAATCAGATTCATTTGTTCTTTCTGTGTTGGGAACAGCCATAATGTTTTAGAGAACTAAGGGGCATAGCAGACTATTTCTATTGTTTAAGGAAGAGGTTGGTCACCCAATGGAAAGTTCTCAGCTCCCCTAGGGCTTGGGAACTTGAACTGTGTATCACCCTACAGGTAAAATGGAGTCTGAAGTCAAAATGACAGTACTCAGGCCAAGTGCTTGTGCCTGTTCCCTTCAGTGTCACCCACATTCGTCAGAGTTCCAGGACTAGTGAGATGGATCCCTGGAGAACTGGAGGTGCTAGGAGACTATCAGTTCTTTCCCTTACCATGGAAACACTAAGAGCTGGGAGTTTCGGTCTTCGCACATGCTGAGCAGAGGGGAGAACCAGGAAGTAGTGTCTGCCAGCTCAGATGCTGTGTTGCTAGACTGCACCAGATTATTAGAACTCCAAGATGCAAGGCCTGGAAGTCAGTCCTTTGGGGAGCTGAACTGGAAGAGCTAGGGTACTGAGCATGCAGGTGAAACCAGGGGGTCTGGAAGCCGCTTCCTAATTGTATGGTGGTACTGTGGTCAGGGTCTCTGAAGAGAGGATGTCCTGAATCTTTGTAGGGAAACTGGGGAATACAGTTTGTGTGTTTGCAGGTACTGGAGACTTCTTTCGTTTCTGGCTTTTTACACGTGGAGTTTGTACTTGAGGGGAAACCCAGGTCCTCTTATTCAACTGTGCTACAAGTGCCGGTCTTCTAGAGAGAGAGATTTTCTAATGATCTTCAGTTGTTCTCATTATATAATTTTAACACAAAAAGCATCTTTTGGGGGCTGATATTCAGAATGCTATATTTATTGGAAGTTATTTACAGTAATGTGCTAACATTTTCCTTATTCCTTTTAGATAACATGAAATTCCCTGTTACGATTACTGTTGAACCGTGTATAACATTGAAGGGAACCAGTGGATTTATATATATCAAGTTTATTCCAAGTAAGTACAAATAGAAACTTTCACTTTTATAATCAGCTGAAGGGCTTTAGAAATTCAACCAGAATAATTCTGTTCCAAATATATTTGTGTTTGTTATCTACTGCTATACTATAAGTTACCACATTCTAAGTCTATTGGCTTAACACAGCACATATCTGTAGGTGGAATTTTCCTGTCCCGGCAGCCATTTCCAAATCACCACACAGAGGCTTATATTAATTGTAAATGCTCAGCCGATAGTTCAGGCTTGTTATTAGCTAACTCTTACACTTAAATTAACCCATTTTTAAAAAAATATATTTTATTTTATTTTAATGTGCATTTGTGTTTCTGCCATGGGTGTCAGGGTCCCCTGAAACTGGAGTTACAGATAGGCGTGAGCTGCCATGTGGGTCCTGGGAATTGAACTCGGGTCCTCTGGAAGAAGAGTCAGCACTCTTAACCCCTGAGCTATCTCTCCAGACCTAACCCATATTTTTTATTTACACTCTGCTATGTGGCTCATGGCTTGTTACCTCATTTTCTACACATCCTGTTTCCTTGGTGGATAGCTGGCATCTCCTCTGACTCCAAGCAAGCTTTATTTGTCAGAACATGATCAAAGTATCAAACAACACATATCTATTGTCTCTATGGGATGGTAGTCTGGGCATGACTTACACCATGTTGTTCAGAGCCCCCCATGAACCTATAATCAAGATATTGACAAGGTTTGGGGTCAGCTATGGACGGAACTACTGCTAAGCTCATGTTGGCAGTATTCAGTTTCTGAATTCTGGCTATTGGCTTGCATGAACCTTATTACCATAGCTGCTTGCTTCATCAAAGCTGGCAAAAGATAACAAGATGAAAGAGTATTATATGGCTTGATCAAAGAAGTGATACTCTGTCATTTTTGCTGTATTCTAGACCAATTCACAGTCATATGGAGGGTTTTACAAGGACATAGGGTAGAAATGGAAATAAGTTCAGCCTTTCAATAATGGTGGCCTTTGTCAATCATTAGCTATTCAGAGTTTCAATTAGAAAATCTGTGTGTGAACAAACCAGGATTTTTTTTTTCTGAGACAGGGTTTATCTGTATAACAACTTTGGCTATCCTGGAACTCAATCTGTAGACCAGCCTGGCCTTGAACTCACAGAGATCTGCCCACCTCTGCCTCTCAAGTGCTGGGATTAAAGTATTCACCACCACATCTGGCTCCCAGGAAATGAATTCTAATCTTTAGCACTATGGTCTCTGTTCTCAGCACAGACTTGGAGCACATTTTATACTTTACAGAATGCTATCATGTGAATAACAAGCTTTTATAAAAGACATATTTTTTTATTTTATTTATTGGATGTGTGTATATATCTGTATGTTTGCCATATGTGTGAGTTCCTGTGGAGTCTAGAGCAGAACATTAGATTCTATGGAACTGGAGTTACAGATGGTTGGGTGTGAGTTGCCCAATATGGATGCTGGGAACTGAATTTGGGTCTTTTTGAAGAGCATTCTTAACTACCGAGCCGTCTCTCTAGTGGATTAGGCGTCTCCCTAATAACAATACTTTGTTGTTGCTGCTGTTTTCTCTTTCCTTCTGCTTTATGAGTCAAGGTGTCACTCTGTAGTCCAGCACAAACTGGCCTAGGAATTGTGGCAACCTTCCCATCTCTGCCTCCCCAGCGCTGGGTTTACATGTCTGTCCCACTATGTCCAATATCATGTAGATAAGCTTAAAGAAACATTCCTCTTCCTCACATTGTAGCTTAGAAGATAAACGGCAGCTGAGAAAGAAGCTCGGTGTGGTGTTGTAGGCCTTTAATCCCAGAACTTGGGCAGAAGCAGTTCAAGACCAACCTCATGTATATAGTGTGTTCCAGGACAGCCGACGTTACGTAGTGAGACCCTGTTTCAGTCAGAGACGGAGGCAGGCCGGTGGGCAGGGGTGGGGTGGGGAGAACTTGAGAATGATAAATGAAATTGGCTGTTAGTTTTCCTGAATCTAATTGTTGAATTTTGACTTTAATGCATTGACTCTGCATTCATTTACTCATTAGGAGGAATCATACAGGATGTAGGGCAACTGGAAAAGGGTGGTAGCAGCAGCCCTGAAGCTGGGCAGAAAGAAGAGTCTAGAGGTTTGATTAAGTAGAACGAAATTCAACTCATGGGGCTAGTGTTGTTGCACAAACGTTAATAGGTCTTTTAATAAAAAACCTGGTGCCAGATATTGGGGTAAATGCTGAAAGATCAGAGAGACAAAGGAACAAGCTACTTCTTACCTCTAGGGCTCCTCAGCCTGAAAAGCCTGAGCCAATAGGCCTCTAGCCAAATGAGCTTCCTCAGCTGAAAAGGCTTTAGTTCCTGTCTCCTCATGCCTTATATACCTTTCTCCACCCAGCCATCACTTCCTGGGATTAAAGGCGTGTGTGCTTAAGCAAAGGCATGAGATCTCAAGTGCTGGGATTAAAGGTGTGTGCCACCACTGCCTGTTTCTCTCCTAGACTGAGTCAATCTCATGTAGCCCAGGGTGGCTTTGAACTCACAGAGATCCAGATGGATCTCTGCCTCCCAAGTGCTAGCACTAAAGGCATGTGCCACCACTGCCTGGCTTCTGTGTTTAATCTAGTGGCTTGTTCTGTGAACTCCCCTGCAAGAAGCTGTCGGTACAGCAGAGGAGGCATATCTCACCAAAACTTGTTGGACAGGTAAAATGACAGACAGAAGCCTTCATGGCAGCAAAGCAATGCTTCAACCCTACTTGACCAAGGGTAAAAGAAATAGTAGAAATTTTGACCTAGTTAAGGCTCTGCGATTTCTTTTTTATTGTCCCCAGGCTCTGGTGTGCCTTATCCTTAGGCGTTAGCATGTGATGATTTGTACAGTGAGGGATCTCACTTTCAGGTGAATTCTTTACTGGTTGTTGTTTATATTTTACTCTTTTTTGGGGGGGCCAGTTACCCACCTCCCAAATAAATCACACACAGAGGTTTATTCTTAGTTATAAATGTCCAGCCTTAGCTTGGCTTGTTGCTAGCCAGTTTTACTTAACTTATCCCAGTCTACCTTTTGCCTCTGGGCTTTTTCCTTTTCTTACTTCTGTAATCTTACTTTCACTCTTACTCCATGTCGTGTGGCTGCGTGGCTGCGTGGCTGTGTGGCTGTGTGGCTGTGTGGCTGTGTGGCTGTGTGGCTGCGTGGCTGTGTGGCTGGTCCCTGATGTCCTCCTCTCCTTGTTCTCTTGTTCTTTCTTCCCTTTTCTCCCAGATTTCTCCTTCCATATATTCTCTCTGCCTGCCAGCCCCGCTTATCCTTTCTTCTGACTTGCTATTGGCCGTTCAGTTTTTTACTACACCATCAGGTGTTTTAGACAGGCACAGGAACACAGTTTCACAGAGTTAAACAAATGTATTATAAGCAAAAGTAACACCTTAAAATAATATTCCCCCAAATTTCTCCTTAAAAAATATGTTGTATTTCCAGTCCCAAATAATAAAAAATACATGTCGTCAGCACTTAGGAGTTCTCTGAGAGGCAAAGCCAAAGAAGGAGTTAAACAAACTAGATGATTTGGGGATGGCATTGAGGGACATAGGCTTGTGAGAGGATAGTAGAAAAGACATGCAGGGACTGAGCCTGGGGTGCAGACCTGATCCCTTTGAAAAGCAAAAGAGGCCAGCATGGTGCTAAGTCCTTGTAGTCATATGGGACAGAAGCAGGAAGATTGCTTGAGTTCATGATTGCTGAGGCCATGTTTCAAACTCAAAGAGAGTCATAAAAACATGCCCATCCACTCAACCTATTAACCAACCAACCAAAAAGAAAAAGGAAAAGGAAGAGAGTTAGAATGATCATCATCAATCTGAAATTCACCATTGAGGGCAAGTCATTGAGGACCCCCAGTATAAAGATCGCCTGTCATAAGAGTTCCAAGGCATGCCGGGCAGTCGTGGCGCACACCTTTAATCCCACTCGGGAGGCAGAGGCAGGTGGATCTTTGTGAGTTCAAGGTCAGCCTGGGCTACAGAGTGATTTCCAGGAAAGGCACCAAAACTACACAGAGAAACCCTGTCTCAAAAAACAAAACAAAACAAAACAAAAGAGTTCCAAGGCAGTCACACCTGGGGATATGGTATAGCAATTATGAGGACTTGCTGCTCTTCTAGAGACCAAAGTTCAGTTCCCAACATGCATATGGAACAGCTCACAACTTCTTGTAACTCCAGCTCCAGGGGATCTGATGTGATCTGACTTCTGTAAGCAACTATATACACATACAAATAGTCTCACACAGACCCACATATACAGAACAAAAAATAAATCAATAGGAACTGGAGAGATGACTCAATGGTTAAGAACATTAGCTGCTCTTGCAGAGGACCTAGGTTCGAGTCCCAGAACCCATATGGTGGATCACAGCTGTCTGTAACTCCAGTTCCAGGAGATCCGATGACCTTTTCTGGCCTCTGCAGCACCAGGCAGGCAAATGATTCACAAACATGGGCAAGACATCCAAAACACATAGAAAAATAAAATAAAATGAAATAATTTTTTAATTAAAAAAATCAGGAGCTGGGTGTGGTGCATTGTGGTAATACATTGTATCCTCCAATATATTATGTACCCTAATAAAACTTATCTGGGGTCAGAGGACAGAAGAGCCACTAGATTAGACATAGAGGCCAGACAGTGGTGGCACACATGCCTTTAATCCTAGCATTTGGGAGGCAGAGATCCATCTGGATCTCTGAGTTCAAGGCCACACTGGAAATAGAGCCAGGCATGGTGGCATACACCTTTAATCCCAGCACTTGAGATCTCATGTCTTGCTTGGGAAAGACACACCCAGGAAGTGATGGTAGGGAGCAGAAAAGTATATAAGGCATGAAGACCAGGAACCAGAGGCTTTTAAGCTTTTAAGCTTTTTAGCAGCAGTTCAGCTGAGATCCATTTGGATGAGGACTCAGAGGCTTCCAGTCTGAGGAAACAGTATTAGCTGAGAAGGTGGTGAGGT